TCGTATTGCTGTTAGATAGCATCATACGTTATTGAAATTATTGTTAAATATGTGAATCAATATTATTTAATATATAACGCAATATTTTTATGTTTGATGGTATCTTGCTCATAATTTTATGACGTAATGTTAACCGCATGAATCTATGATTAGTCTGCATGAACACACTTTATTCTTGAATAAAAACTTGTTGAAAAATTAACACATTGTTGAGACTGCGAACACACAGCGATGAGCTCGCTGTTGCAATACCGATAATCTCGGTGATACCTTCGAACGTCTTCCATGATAATATTATATATGCTAATCTTTTTATATTTTGTTACTGCATAAAATGTTTTAAAATTGTGAAAATTTATTTAATACATAACACTGGTCTACAGTAGTTTTGTTGCCCTAGATATACAAGTAAGATCGATTTTGATTTGTGCTCACGAAATTATCAATGGTTTTGTAAGATTTGCCCTCGCTTATTTTTAAATCTTTATTTTCATTTTACATTAAAAAATTCCTAAAACATGAAACAAAATAAAATGTATATTTATAATGTCAGTTTGCTTTTGAAAAAATAAGAATGCGTCGCAGTATTTTATATTGTAGTAAATCGCCTTTTATCAGCATTTCTTTTATAATTTTCCAATTGACAAACTTTTTCTAAGAACTTACAGTAATCTGTCGTCATGTGCCGATTCCATCAACATTGATACCTTTCTTCCAGCACTTTTAGATTCTAGTTGAACTGCTCTCTCTATGTTCCTCACTACAATTTCCAAAATTATCTGAAAATATATCCAGCTTATTGCGGAGATAGTCTAACTTGATACTCAAATTCGCACCTAAAGTCTGACAGATTTTTGCACAATTTCTTTATAAGTTGGTACTTAATGTCCGTTCTGTTGGTACTTAATGGTTACCTTTCGACTGTCAACACAAAGCTTTTCCACGATTCACTTTCCAGAACAGATATAATAACTTTGATAAAATCTGTATATTTCAGTAATTACTGTATCAAATATTTCACCTTTAATCTTTTCCATGCTAAGTTTTTAGAATTTTCTACAAAGGTCACTACAACTATATCACTATACACACACAACTATATGTCCAACACTTCGACAAATTGCTTTATCATTCCTAACTTAATCACATATTAAATCACATTTTGAAAAAAACTTGTCTGTAGATTTTTCACCCTATTGTTCACATCCATTGGTAAACTGTACCGATATCTGGGTATTTCATCATGGTTTCAGAGTAGTCCATGAAACTTACTTTAACGAGGTTTTCATTGAATAAAACATGATATTTTGTAGACTGTAATTTTAGTTTTATCTTTAGTAAAACCTTAAAATTTTCCGCACAATTTTTCGCATATTTTCGGTAAGGATCCTGACAGCGGAAAACATCAAAATTTGCTAACATATCCAGAGCTTTTTTGTTTTGTAGAACTGCCTATTGATTATACACAAAAAATTAAAAAAAAGGAAACAAGAAAAACTGTTAAGCTATAACACTCTTCCCAAATACAAAAGATTCCTTACAAAAACTTCGATCAGTTTGTATGGCAGCCATATGCTATAGTAGGATTCGATCTGAACAATTTCTTAGGAGACTGCACTGTTGCCTTGGACAATAACTCATGCAAAATTTCGTGAAAATATCTCGTCAAATTAAAAAAAATTCCTTACCAACAAGTGCAAATTTCAGAGCTATATTTCATCAACTAAGGGACTAATTCGCATATATATAGTCATACAGATGGATGGAGATGGCTAAATCGACTCAGCTTGTCACGCTGATCATTTATATATACATATGTATATACTTTCTCTCTAACGTTTCCTTTTGGGTGTTACAAACATCGTGGCAAACGTAATATACCCTGTTCAGTGTATAAAAATAGCGAGTTATTCGCTATTTCCCAAATTTCTAAAAACAAAAAAGTCTTTCACTGCTGCAGTGATTGAGGCTTTCACCGTGGTTGAAAATAACAAAAATATTATTAATATGCAAGGTATTGCCAACTACAAAAAAATTTAATTAAACAAAATAGCAAGGCAATGGAAAAAATTTCGAATTGTTTGGTCTGCCAAAATTACACTTTTCGAAAAACTAGAAAGTCTTTGTACGAAGAAAAAATCAAAGCGATCGGTTTGGTATGCTAGTTATAATGGACTATTGAAATATACAAAATATTTTTGCAAAGTTTTACACTACGTGTGTCCCTTTAAGAAATAAACAAAAAAAAATTATGAACCGAAACTTTCTGAGCAGAATCGCATAATTATATCAAGTTTGGGTAAATTTTCCTTATCAAGTGTAATTGAAGTGCAAAGCAGTGGATCAAAAATACACAAAGTTTCTACTAACTCTTTTTAGAAGAGATTGTAGAAACATGATGGGAATACTCACTGGTCACAGTCTGTTTGCGGCATACGCCTGCAGAATGGGGCTGAAAGATCGAAATGACTGCAGGAAATGTCAAGAGCAAGGCACCAGAGAAACAATGGAGCATCTTTTGTGCACTTGTCCCGCACTTGCAACGCAACGCTTCAAACATTTGGGGGTCTCACAGTATAAAACACTGGAAGACGGGTCTGGTCTTTAATTTTTTACAGGGCTTTTCAAATTCAAATCATATAATTAATTTGTAAATGGGAAATACTCTCAAAAAAATGCAGTTAATGTGTACTTTATATGGTAAATGGCAGCAATCTCACAAGATTGAATATTTTTATGTAATTGTTTAAAATTCTGTATTCTGCATAATATAAATCTAAAATATAGAACGTTAGAAAAATGTTAAAAATTATTAATTTTCACTTTGAGAAAAGGAAAATTTTAACACAATATTTTACCTAACCACTTCCAGTTTGACGGTCAAACAAAAACGCGAAATTAAAAACAAATCAATAAGGTCAGTAGGAGAAAAAAACCGAAATCTATTGAAATGTTTGACGAAACGAAATACGGGTTGGTTGTAAAGTTTCTGCTCTCACCAAGAAATAGCACTACTAGCTCCAATTTTTGTCAAGTTGGTACATCTGTCGTGAGAACACATGCAAAGTTACAAGTCATTCTGTCAACTAATTCTTTGTTTACAAGTAATTTAAAGTTGACGTGTTTTTTATTATGGAAAAAATAAGAAAGGTTATGCTTTAGTTTTTTGGGATGCTAAAAGAATTTTGTTGATTGATTATCTACAGAAAAGTAAAACAAACAACTCTAAATAATATTGCAGCCTTTTGGATGAGCTGGATGGAAAAATTCGTGAGAAAAGATATATTTGGCAGCAGAAAGAATTCATTTTTCATCAAGACAATGCAACTGCTCACAAAGGTGTTTTGACAAGGACAAAATTCAACGCATTAAAGTACGAATTGCTTGAGCATCTACCGTATTCACCAGATTTGGCTCCCAGCCACTACTACCTTTTCAGAAACCTGAAACAATTCCTTCGTGGAAAGCGTTTTTCGTCGCATGAAGAAGCTAATACAGCCGTAGACGGGTATTTTAAAGAGCTTCGGAAGCAATTATAAGGATGGCATAAAATTATTGGAGGATCATTGGAAGAGGTGTATCAAAGTTAAGGAAGATTATGTTGTATGATTAAAAATATTTCGTACCGAAAACAGTATATTTTCATTTCGAGCGCAGAAACTTTACAACCAACCTGTAATACAGGACCTTCTTTAATCAATACAAAATTTTTCATTATTGCATTGCAGAGAGCTCATTTGCTACGAGAGTGTCGTAGTGCCAAAATCCATAAAACTCGGGGAAAGAAGTTTTAAAGTCATCAACCATAAATTAAAAATTATTATATTTACTTGTTCGCGTTCAATTTGCAATAAATTTAGCAAAGAAGTTTGAATTTAAAGACATGTTGAGCCGGTATCGGCCCTTCCGACAAATGAGCAGCTTCTTAGTGAGCAAAGGGCATATGCAAAATTTCAGACCGATAGCTTAAAACTGAGGGACTAGTTTCTATATGTACAGACGCACAGACGGACATGGCTAAATCAACTCAGCTCATCATGCTGATCATTTATGTATATATTTTATAGAGTTGTTGACTTCTGGCTGTTACAAACTTCGTGGTAAACTTAATATGCGCTGTTCAGGGTATAAAAAGTAGCAATCATGTAGTGTTACAGGGAAGCTACAGTTCAAATTTCAAATGCATAAATGTGATAGTCTCAGAGTACTATCGTCACCGTTACGGAAAGTTTAGTTTATACAAAAAAACGCGTAGAAGCTGACAACCCGAACTCTTCGTCACTTCAGCGGATTAGTCAAGAAAAACATTTTTTTTTAATATTCTATCATTTATAAAATGTTTTTAGCACTCTGAAGTGTACTTTAAGCCAAAAAAAAGTATGCATTTGTTTAAAACTCTAGAAACAACGGGATGATGGGACTCAAAAAAAAATATTCTCCAAAAAAAGAGAATAACATTAACAGACCGAAAAATCAACCGTCACTGACAAAAAATCATCTGAGTGTATTTATAAAGTTCTTGTGCTAGCATTATAAACCGCTTCATTTAGCCGACGCTAACAGTCGAAGAATTGAAGTAAAAAAGGTTTTGAAGCTTTATAATTTTTATCTTTTATCGCTTCGGCAAATAAACTGTCATTTGTAATTAGCTTGGATTCCAAAAAAATATATTTAAAAATATGTAAAATTAATATGTTTTCATTATAAATTGTTCTCGTTGTGGGTAATTTAGACCAACTCAAAATTCTATCACTTTGCTCTCAAAATTTCTGAGCCATAAACAATATTCTGGGTTTGTCGAAAGCCATATTAAAAAAAGTTTAAAAAATACTTAAAATTATCGGTTTAACAAAAGATATGAATGTCATAGCTCTATGTATTTGGTATAATCATAATTTTAGATTAAGATTTAGTGCAATATTAAGGCAATTACAAGTGAAAATATTTTTGTCAATTTCCGTTTTAAAAGTAATGATGTCTTACTTATTTTACTCCCGCAGTTTCTGCGCAGGATGCTGGCCAGAACTATCAAGTGCAATATGTAGATACAGAGTTGTATCATGGCAATTCCAGCCAAGCCCAAATGTAAGCAGAAGACACGGCAATGAAATTGTTAAATTTATTTTGCTTAACGAGATAATTTGTACTTCCATTACACAGGACGTATCCCTTTTGCCCGGTTGGCGATTATCAAACGAATGGTCAAACTTACTACTCCACGGCGGCAGGCAGCAATTACGCAACCGCATCAGTTGCGAATGCGCCCGGCACACACGCTTCCTCGTTGCCGTACCTGGTGCCGGTGGAGGAGGGATTATTGCTGAACACTTCGTCGCAATCGCATAGTCGAGACTCGCCGCAGAGTTTAACGGTAAATGTTTTAACCTAATAATAGCCACAAAGCCAGGCGCAGAGTTTGCACCCATCGTAACATTGATATTTGTGTTTGCTTTTAGGAAGTGGCTTACATTCAAGAGGCGCAGAGTACACCGCAAACGCCCACATCTACAACAACAACGAACTCTGTAAGTGGCGGTAGCATCGGCACTGGCGGCGGAGGCGCATCGCCAGACAGCGAACAAAATGGCCTCGGCACCTCCAACAAAGTAGCTTCAGCCACGGTAAGTCCAGTTATATTATTGCCGTCTCAAAGGTTTTGTTCGTTCAAATTGATTAAAGTTGTGAAATATTTGCGCAAAATGAGCAAATTGTGTGCGGAATTTTTCATTAATAAAACAACATTTCACGCCTTGCACTCAGTGTGCACGCCCACACCCATGCAACACACACACATTTGCAATTTTTTTTCCCGAGTAGCAGCGCATAAATTCCAATCACATGTGTATTTCTTCTCTTTCTCGCCCGTACTGTTACTTTGCATGCTGCGCTCGGTGGTGACTGCTGCTGCAGATCAAGTGGTTGTCACGCAACTACGAGACGGCCGATGGCGTCAGTCTACCCCGTTCCACGCTGTACAACCACTACATACAGCACTGCAATGAGAACAAATTGGAGCCGGTGAATGCCGCCAGTTTCGGCAAACTAATTCGTTCGGTGTTCTCTGGCTTGCGTACACGTCGCTTGGGCACACGCGGCAATTCCAAATATCACTACTATGGCATACGCATCAAACCGGACTCGCTACTAAATCACATGATGGACGAAAAGCCGACATATTCAACACATTCCGGCAATGGTGTGTCGACCGGCATTGGGCATTCCACGGCCAGCGGCGGTGCAGTGTCAACTAGTGGAGTTGGCGGCGGCAGCGGCAGTGGCAATATGCCGAATAATGGCAATCGCAATTTGAAGAAGTTGAGCTTCAAGCCAGAATCCTACGAAACTTGTGCACAGGTAATTTGTTATGCAATTATAAAATTGTGCTGACAATTATCGATTTGATTATGAATGCGTGTTTTGCATATTAATTTTTCTTCTTTATTTTTTTTTTTGACAGTATTTGGGCGATGGCGCTGGCGCGATTCCGTCATTTCCCGCCATCGAATTGGATCACACCTACAATAGTGAGCTCTCGCATGAGGATGTGGAGACTTTTCGCGCCATGTACCGCGAGCACTGCGAGTCTTTTTTGGATGCTGTGCTGAATCTGGAGTTCAGTACCATTGAATATTTGTGGCGTGACTTTTGGCGTGCCAACGACAACAACAATTTAGAAGAATGCGAAGAGGAGAAATATCTGAGCAAGACGAAACTATATCTGCTATGCCATTGCGCAGAAGTACAAAATTTTATCAAAGAGGTGAGGTGGTGTTTTTATTTCGATTTTTCAAATTGCGCCGTGCAAAATTAATATGCAATATTTTTCTTCATTAGGTTGACTATCAATTTTACCAAAATATGGTCGATGTTATCATTCCCGATGTTCTACGCTCCATACCGAATGCTCTTACACAAGCCATTCGTAATTTCGCTAAAAATCTGGAACTTTGGTTGTGCGAATCCATGGTCGGCGTGCCCGATCGCTTGGTACAAATCAAATCGGCAGCGGTGTCGGCATTTTGTCAAACTCTGCGACGCTACACGTCGCTCAATCATTTGGCGCAAGCAGCGCGTGCCGTACTCCAGAATAGTTCGCAAATAACACAAATGCTGAACGACTTAAATCGTGTGGACTTCCATAATGTTCAAGTTAGTAGAATATTCATTTTTTTCTTATTGGTTTCGAAATTGAACGAACATGAGAGCATGGTGTTTGAAAAAACGAATATATCGATTGAGTTTTATTGATCGGTGTAGAGTTCGAAAGTTGTGTGCCCAAAAATTAAAATAATGAAGCCTTGCAAAATTGTTTTGATAATAACCAGTTTAAAAGAAAGTTTGGCATTTAAAATAATTTTTTTAAATCAGGGTTGCCACGTTTTTTAAGTTTAAAATTTAATCAAAATCGTCAAAAAGTGCTCATATTTAAGCCACCTGTTTAAAATATAATATTAAAATTTGGTTAAGCGGTTTAGGCACTGCAAGTTAATTACCAGAGACCAAACATCATTCTCAATAGTGAATAAAACCTTTATTTATACCCTGAACAGGATGTCTGTTAAAATTTGATCCGGATTGGAAAAAAAACATTTTCAAGCATTTTAGTCTTATTATCGCCTTCAAAATAGGCGCCTTTTAAGTGAATCCAAGCATGCCAACGCTTCATCTAATTTTCCACACATTTGTTCTAAGCCTCGGCTGTACCTTCACAGCCTTCAGCGAATGACTTTCAACGAACTCATGTCATTATCGCCAGACAAACAGCTGTCAAGCGCACACTAATTGCCACATAGTGATCAAATTTAACAGGAACATAAAAATAGGTTATAGGATCTAATAAGAAAATGTGTATCGATTCGGTTTTGCGCGGAGTTTAAAAAGACCAGATCGTGTCAAATATGATTAGATGGTTTGTACAAATGATCAGCGCGACGAGCTGAGTAGATTTAGCAATATCCGTCAGTATTGCACTAGTCCTTCTTCTCTCTAAGAGTTGCTGATTGGTCAGAACAGCCGATAACGGACCACTATAAGAAATAGCTGCCATACAAACTGTCCGATTAAAATCAAGTCCTTGTATGGAAAACTTTTTTTATTTGCCAAGTTATCTTCACGAAATTTGGCATGGATTATTGTTGAAGGCAATGCTGCTATCTTTGAAAATCCGATCGTACCACTATAGCATATATGTATGTAACTACCATCCATACTGATCGACAAAAATCAAGATAAAGTTCTTCGTAAAAGAATTTTTGTCGATTATTTATATCAATTGTGGCTAGAAAGAATTAGCAAACCGTTAGCCGGTTAGGTTTTCAGATCTAGTTATAGGTGTAGTTGCTATAAGAAATACGCCTATATAGCTTCGGTGAAATCGAAGTTAACTTTTTTTTCTTGTTATTCTCTTTATATTATATTATTAAATGCTTTCGACACATCTAATGTTCATATGAACACCGTTCATACTATGACTTTTGTATACTAATAAACAAATTTAATACATATTTACTCAGGAACAAGCAGCTTGGGTATGCCAGTGTGAGCCGGCAGTAGTGCAACGTTTGGAGAATGATTTCAAGTCGGCATTGCAGCAACAAAGCTCTTTGGAACAATGGGCCTCTTGGCTGCAGCTGGTCGTTGATTCTGCCTTACAGGAATATCGTGGCAAACCCAGCTACGCCAAGGCCGCACGCCAATTCCTACTCAAGTGGAGCTTTTACAGCTCCATGGTTATACGTGACCTGACACTACGATCCGCTTCCAGTTTCGGTAGTTTTCATTTGATACGTTTACTCTACGATGAGTATATGTTTTATCTGGTCGAACACAAAATAGCTGAGGCTCAACAAAAGACCGCCATTGCGGTTATCTGCGATCGCATGGTAAGTCAAATAAAATAAACATAACCATCCCATCATTAGGTTGACTTACTAAATCGTTTCGCTCTCCACACCGCATTGCAGCACAAGGATATTGACTTTGAGTTTGACTACCAGTTGGAGTTTATCAGCGAGAGCCATGAACAGCAGCAGCAACAACAACATAACTCAGTGAACATCAACACTACTTCCTCTGTCGGCAATCCGGCGAAGCGTCTAAAACACGAATGAGTAAGTGCCGTGGTAGAACTGCAGAGCGTACACCGAACGACACCCAGCAGTATTCAATGTAACGATGTTGGCGTGCTGCAGGCAAAGTTTGCCGAGTATCTTTGCTTGTTGGCATCCTTATAGTGGTAGTAGTAGTAGTTGTAGTCCATAAAAGGTAGCCATAGCCATAGCTGCAAGAAACGCCATTGAAGCACCAAATATATATATATATGTAAGAATGTAATAATATATATGCATGTGCGTGTGCGAGAACTCGCATTATATGTTTTAGCAAAGGAATAGATTTCCAAGCATTTAAACATTTAAATAATACAGAAATTTAAGAAACTAAAATTTCAAAGATTTAATTTTTAGGTTTTTAACGCATATTTTTTTTTTTTTTTTGTTTGAATAGAAGGCAAGTAATTTGTAATTGCCACCAAATAGTGTTAAGCCGTCCATATAAAAAAAAAAGCCGAACACCCCAGTTTTGCACCTCTAGCGTGTGTGCTTGTGGGTGTTTATTGATTGTAAAGTTGTTTTTCATGAATTGGTACAATACAATACGTAAAAATATACTATGAAAATAATTATCATGTTTAGGTGTCATATACATAATATATGTATGCTTGTATGTATAGTTGTTGCTTTTTATGCCTATACATATATATATTATATATATATATATATATGTTTGTATGTATGTATAAAATATCATCTAATGTCAGTTTTGTAAGGTTTCACAAAGTATGTACGCCATTGTTTCACGGAGAAAAATGAAAATTTCACCACTCGGAATCTCTCCCACTCCAAAAATAATATTCCTAGAAAGCAGAAGCGAACTGACATCTTAAATTAATTACACGCTTTTGCTTGTAAGCGCTTATTTACGTTGTGGAATAAAGGACACAACGTAGAATGAATGCAATGAGATAACTGAAATAACTGTTAATTTTTTTTTTGTTTTTGTATACAAACTGTAATTAATCAAAAATTGTAATCACTTTTTTTTTTAGGTTTTTAATTTCTTCTAACTTTTCCGTCAACCATTTGCACACTTTAAAAATTTGCAGGTACAGCTAAGTAATACAAAATATATTCTAAAATCCCAATAAGAAGGAATATATTCAATTTCGCTCCCACTTTCGAAGATTTTGGATCAAATTGCGTAAAAAATTATAAATACAGTAAGGCTTTATTATTTTGTATATATTTTAACTTTAAATTTTAAGTTTTATTTTACAATTAGTATCCATATTTGAGTATCCCAGTATGTACCCCGAACGTCAATATAGTTCGTAGAACTTTCTAAATAAATTTTTGAAAACTAAATCTTTGCAAGAAGTTCAGCTAGTTCAGCTAGCCATCAAATTTAGTTTATTTGCAAATTGTAGGATATATAGAAAAATCAGAACATTTTTAATTTTTTTTTCATTTTGAAATTTTGTTATTAAGTCAAGCTTCTTATTTTCGAGATATTTCTCCAACCAAATTAAAAAAAATTATATTATATATAGAAGATATGCGTATAAAAATGCATATCCAATTGACCATTAATTCGGAGCCCATGCATGAAAAGCTGCTCTGAAATTTTTTATTTTTTTTTTTTATTATTATTTAAAATATGAATTTTGCCCCGAACATTGAGTATTAAGTTCGTCACGAAGTTTGTAACACCCATAGTGAAACGTCGGACACCCTATAAAATATATATAAATGACCAGCGTGACGAGCTGAGTCGATTTAGCCAAGTTCGTCTGTCTGTCTCTATATACGCGATTTAGTCTCTCAATTTTTAAGATATCGATCTGAAATTTTGCATACGTTCTTTTCTCTTTAAAAAAAGATGATATTGGTCGCAACCACTATAGCATATAGCTGCCTTACAAACTGAACGATCAAATTCAAGATCTTTTATAGAAAACTTTTTTATTTGACAAGATATCTTCACGAACATTGGCATGTTTTATTGTTCAATGCAGCGCTACAATTTCCAAGCAAATTGTACAGATCGGATTATTATAGCATAAATACACTATAGCATATATTCAAACTGACCAATGAAAATTAAGTTCTTATATGGAAACCTTTTTATTTGTGAAGAGTATTATTGCTTCGGTGCAACCGAACGTTTTAAAATGCGTATCGCCATTCCAACAAAAAAAAAAAAAACGTTTTATACTTCAAAATTCAAAACCCTTCGATAAGATGTTGCTTATTTGCTTGAAGACGAATTTTAAATTCATTAGTATTTTAACTGTTCATTTACCAGTTTGCTAGTCATCGTCGTTTTAATTAACTGATTTTATTTTAGATTTTTTTTCAACATTTTCAAATGCATCACCAAGCATTGAAACGCTTTACATACAATTAATGCATAGTTTATAAAGAAAATTATTTTCGACTGCAGAACTTAAATAAATGTAAAATAGAAGTTTTTATAAAAATGAAAATATATATATATACATACATTATAACAGTAATAAATTTAAAATAAAATTTCTTTACAACGCATACAATGTTTCATGTACAAATATGAATCGAGTATTTTTATAAGAAAATTAATGAATACAACACAAATACCAAACAGCACAAAGGAATATAAAACTATATTGTTCAGCATAGCCAATAATTTCGTAATTGCTCAAAGAACTCTATGAATGTAATTGTTAAATGTATATTTTATAATAAATGCAATAAACATTCCAATGCTCAAACCTTCATTGTATTAAATATATATATATGTGTGTATACTTACATACATACATATTTAACTATATCATATATATATAAAAATATCGGTACAAAATGTGGCGCAATTCGTTTTGACTACAGCGAAAAAATTCAGAATTGGTTGTTAAAATTAAGCAAATATGCTACAAACTATATATTTTTAAGCAATGTGAAAATATACAAATAAAAACATTTCGATGTATCGTAACTATAAAACCTTAAAAAATAACAATTTTGGAAATCAAATTATTTACTATGACTCTAAATTTATGTAATGCAAAATAAATAACTACCAAATATATTTTTGGATTTCATTTTTTATTAAACGATATGCAAGAAAACAATTAACGAAGTATCTTGGTCAATTAGTATACAAATATCAGTGAACTAAACAACTTTGTGCCGGACTAATCCATTCAAATTATTTTAGAATTATCAAGGTTTTTAATGTTGAGTCTACTCTATTGCCAACGAAAAGATTTTAATGACTGTTAGTAAGGGTAGCTGAGTTGCATCAGTTGTTCCGAAATACTTGATGCCCACATATGTTGAGAAAAGTTGGATTCCGTCGAATATCGACGTTGCTACTACTATCTCCATTCTAACCCTTTGTTTTGTTAACGATTTATCTTGCTTATAGACAACTTAATTGCATTCATAAACGACAAAGAAGTGCTCTCAAATCGGTTATTAATGTCTGCTGAGTCCATCAAAGCTTCAATTTTAAAATCACTTTTGGCAGAAAGATTTAGTTTTTTGGTTATTCGTTTGATAGAAATAGCTACATCTGCCTAATAAGTACCGAATTCTTTTTGCAAACCTTTTATAAGCTTTCTTTTTACAAAATAAATCGTTTTGGCAGGTGAAGTCATTAATTTTGAATAGAATTAGTTTTAATACCCCTATTACGGTTTTCATCTCCACTCAGTTGAAATTTTTTTTCAAGGTACCTTAATTTTATTTTTACTGTTTTCAAATTGTAGCTTGCCTCATTCAATTTTTTCTACAGTGATTCTATGTATTTGTACAAAATAACTGAATAAAATAGTTTAAAATTTTAAACAAAAATTGTTTTTTTTTCTTTTTCCGTTAATAATTTGCCTAAATAAATGCACTAATTTCCACTACAACTTCTTGGTAGCAGTTGAAATTTTTTGATACTTAATACTCTAATCAACCCCACAGGCAGAGTTGAAAACTGTATTACCAAAAAAAAGTTTGACAACACTTCAACCGAATTGTTTTGGTGGACGGGTTAAGTTGATAACGATACTGAATTTCAAAACTTCAACCAAAATGCAGTAGGGTTGAAAACCGTATATAATAAAAGACAACGGCAAATTCAATCATAATTAAAACAATTAATGGCTTTTCATATATTTTTTTTATTTGTTTTATATAATTTTTCAATTTCTTTTTTTTTTTGTTTTCATTGTATATATGTACTTTAAATAATAAGTTTTAACAATTTTATAAAAATTAGCTTCCTTTCTAATTTAATTATTTTTGTTGTGTATTGAGATATAAAAATTCATTCATTTACAAAAAAGGAAACATTCGCGCCTATATTCAAACCACAACGAAATGTGTTTGCACATACAATTCGCAATTGCCTTACGCCTTACTACACTCTACTTACCTAAGTGTGATATAAAAATAAGAATACTATTACAAACTTACGTACTAATATTACGGTCTATAGTTAAACGCACGCTGACATTCCACATCACCCATGACATTTCATATCATACATATGTCTATGTGTATAAATATTTTTCAACACACGCGTAAAAATGCATTAGCATACAATAGTCTAAACATATCCAAATGCTCCAATTTCATAACATACATACATACATACTTGTTGATGTAGATATATACATATGTGCTATAGTAAATGACTTTAAATGCGATTACGTGAAAACGTAAAATTATAATGAAGATTTAACCAGAACTACGTTTTTCGCCACTGAATGTTATGTTTTTGTTTCCGTTTTTAATATAAATTAAATTTGTACTATTTCATTTAAGTTTGACGACGGCAACTAAAAAAAAAAAATATTATATTAATAAACTTCTTGTACTTGTATATTTGTCATTTTGGGCATTCGGCAAACCGAATCACTGCTTCGAGAAAAAAAATAAAAGTTTTTCATTAAATGCGCATACAAATGCAAAGAGTAAACGAATTATCGAGTTTTGGTGTAGTTGTCGTTGATATATCTAAAATAAAATTATGCAGTTACAGTATGCATTTACTTTAGTTGGAACCTTAACACTAATATTTACAAAATATTGTAGTAAGTTGAGGTTATGTTACTATTAATTTTTGTATATATTCTAATGAATTTTTTGTTCAATTGACTGTTTGAATGAGGTAAGTAAAACACCCACCGCGCCACATCTACATACATTACTATTAATTATATATATGCATATATGTATATGCTATTGTATAAACGTAGTTCCGCACATTAAAAAGAAATGTTTGCAGATTTGTTTTGTTTTTCAGTTGAATATACTTAAATACTGACCTGGCAAGATTGGCTTTACATATGTATTTATGACTTAATATGCTATATTTTATTTAGAATCTATAAAAGGTAATGATGTGAGGAATGACTTGAAATGCAACTGTACACAGACCATATACCAGAGCCGATCAATAAGTTATCTCCAATGAAATAAAACATATATTCCTAGTAAATACGCCTACAAAATGTATGGTAATTGCATTTCACAATTTCACATTGTTTTTGATTGGTCAAAATTTGGGCTCTTGAGCCGCTTAAAAACTAAATTATATTATATGATATTAATCGTCCATTAAGTTTTCGAAAGTCCCACAAACCCAAACATTTGTTTCTCCCTTTTTTTAAATGTATGTACAAGTGCAGCAGGTACAAAAATAATATTATATTTATTATTATAGAGACTTTCTGCTCAGTCAAAACTTTTGTGTGTTTCCGTTTGTATTATACAAGTATGTATTTACAGCATATGGTTTTGTACCCAATCAAAACAAGCGCCTGAATTAGTTCCAAACTCAAAGCAGTTATCTTATCACCAAAGATTTTTTTCAACAACGAAAGAATTCCTTTAAATAATTACGGGTTTGTTTCTGCCTGGCTAAGTATCACTAGCTAGCCAACTTTTTGTTGGAAAAGCATTTCCAAGAAACTAGCAGAAGAGAGCGCAAGTTGATAGCGTAAGCAGCTGAGCGAGCTGTTAGGTAAAGTTCTGCTAGCAAAAAATAGATAATGATATATGAAGAAACAGCTATTAAACGCAACTGTAAACAAACGATATTTGATGCATCTGCTTTGATTTTGTTTATCTGAATAGTTTTGTGAAAATAACAATATATTAACAAATACTCAAGTGCTGATATGTGATTATTAAAAACAAAAATCAAAGGTTTTCTGGCTGATTTCTGTTTGTTTTCATGTTTTATCTTTTTTCGTTGCTTCATTCTTTGTGCGAGCAACTTGGCATTTTCGCATTCTTCTTCTCTAAGTGGTAGTTAGCAGCTATTATCACTTCAGAAACAAACCTTAAATTCATTATTTGAAAAGAATGTCTTAAAAAATACCAATTTTACCTAATGGTTTCTACGCATTTCATATTAGATTCCTACTGTAAGCAAATACACTTTTTTTAACTTTAATGCCTGGCTCTGGCGGCGTTTGCTTCGATTGTGTTCGCGCCACTAAAAATTCAGAATTAGAAATCATTCGTTTTTCGAATCGTTTAAAAACAAAGCTTACTAAACAAAGAGATCAAGTTGGCAAAATTAATGAAGAGCTACAAAATTATGCTTATTAATTTGTCAAGTTCATAAAATTTGATATGTGTCCAAAAATTTTTGTTATAAAACTACTGTATGTAAGAATTTAAAGCTAAATTAAATTTTCTCATTAGAAATTTGCACTTAGCTAAAGCGAATTTATATAAAGTGAACAAAATACATAAAAGAAAAGAAAACTTCTGTTAAGATTAAATTATTATAGTTATAAAATATTGGACACTTTTTTATACAAGTCATATTGCAATATAATTATTGAAATAATTGAGAAGAACTTAGAATTGCATGTTTCGATTTCGCGCTCACACGAATTTTATGAATATTTTGTATTTTTAATATTCACAGACTGTGAACTGTAAAGCGAGCATGCATAGCCTTGAAATTGCAATTATTTCACTGCAAAAATAACTTTCAAGAATCGCATTTACAGCAATATGTTCGATATTATGCTTTTTTAACTTAAGCATTTAATTCATTATGAACACATAAACACAATGCGGAGTAAACGCAACATTTTAAGCGTATTTTTAAGCAAATTTTCGTATTGTTAATATTTCTAGTGTATTCGTTTTCAAAGCAAAAATGTGTAGTTAATCAAAGTAAAAACTGTGTTTGACACATACGATTTTAAAAACCTTGTTTAAGGAAATTTCTGCCTTTGCATTTCGTGTGATAACATATGTATGTATTTGAAATATGTATAACAAATTCGCTTCAAAAACGAATAAAACTAATATTGAACAAGAACTTAACGGGACTTAAATAATGGTCCTGTAGATATTATAATTTGTTCATTTTTGTCGCAAATGTCACAACTTTTTCAAGTAATTGCGAGTAACTAAGCGCTTACGTTCATCGGCGTATACATTGTGTTACATATTGTTATACTAAATATAATCATATTATAATATTTTAAATGAATATTTTCATGTTCTCACTATCCGAGACCTGTTCTTTAGGAACAAATGCCTGAGTGGCTCTTTGTGTGAAGTAATTTTTTAAATTCCTATTTTCTAAACAATTCGGTTGACTAATTGTATTTTGCGACGATTGTTTGATATTGCGCCATTGATCTGTGACAGGGTGGAGAGGGCACCACTTACGCTGCCGATTGTGGTGCCTGTCGCTGTATTAATCGCCTGTATCGATGTTGTTTTGCTACCATTCCTTATCGTTTGCACAACAATATGCTGTGGCTGCACTTTATACTGTTTGATACTATGTTGTATATGTTGTTGTTGTTGATTTCGTTTTTGCTGCTGTTTTTGCAATAGCAATTGTTGCTGTTGTTGCAGTTTGTGTTGTTGAATTTGCTTCTCCAGCTCACCGGCTGGACCGATGGAGTAGTTTATATTGAGGCGGGCACGCTTCGGCGACTGTGCGGCAGCATTCAAATCGGCAGGACTCAGTTCAATTATGTCGGATGTATTCACGGTTAAATGCCGTTGCATCGTCTCTTTATCGTCTTCAATATCAATTGCATCGTAAATATCTTCGACCTGAAAAAAAATTTAAAAAAATTGATTTGTTATTATGCAAAGAAAATGTTCGGAAAAACGAAAACAAATTATTACAATGTATACAACACAAGTACAAGTCGGCTAAAAGCTAAACAAAAATTGAGCAACTAATATTCAAGTCTTCTATTTTATTTTTAATTGATCATGCTAGTACTTGTGACACATGCCACTTTTTCGAAAGACAACTATTATTGTTGGAACTTCTTTTCGTTAAAAATAAAAGAACTGTTAATAGGATAACGGTAGGAAAATAAACTGCTAGTTTTGTTTTATGTAAATATGGACATATATACATAGACCGTGTGTGTTCGGACTGAAAATTTGCAGGCGACAGAAAAACTCGAGTAATGGCCTTAATCTCTCAAAAAGTAAAAAATAACAAACTCAAATAGGATAGAGCACAAATAAACAATGCAAATGCTACAGTGAGCTGTTTTTTATTAATTGACTAACTATTGCGATGACTTGCGCAAATCATTTAGACGCTATTTAAGAGACTATCTCATTTATTTCAATCGCATAGAACATACAATACTCCAAAAGAGAGTAGAACTCTTTAAAAACTTACAAAAAAAAAAATTTATTTCCTATTGTGCAGTAAAGCCTTAATAAGAAACAAGCGAAAAAGATTAAAAACTATATAAAAAATGGCAAATGTACCTTCTGCTCACTCTTAAGCACTCTTTGCACCATCTTCTCCATTCTTTTAATTTTGTGTGTCTCCAAACTCACCTCTATATCAAAATCTCGATTTTGTTGCATGCCAAGGACATCCTCGCCAGCACCACAGCCGCTCACATCACCCGACTCACTAAGCGCATCCGAATTATTTATACCCATGCCACTACTCATCATCTCATCCTCTTCAATGTCCTCCTCGACAAACATATTGTCCACAATGGTGTCGTCGAGTTCTTGCTCTTCCAAATCGGAAGTCTCCTCTATTTCCGATTGACTATCTAATTCGATATCTGAATCACCAGAGCTGCCATGTTTCATTTCGCCCCTCTCTAATGCATCTAGATGATCCGGATGCACCATTGCGTTGCGTATACCCATGGGATCCTTACGCGACCATTTTTGCACTTCTTCGTCCATTTTCACAATGCGATCCGGATTCATTGCCCAAAGGCAGCCTTTGCGTTGATTGCCATTTGTCGCGGGTTTTTCAATCTTCTCAAAGCATTTATTCAACGAGAGATTATGACGCACACTATTCTTCCAGCCGCTCGGTGCTGTGCGGAAATATGGAAAATGCTCACACATAAAGCTATATATCTCTGATACGGGCAAGGAACCACTGCGGGAATTTTTTAATGCCATTGCTATGAGACAAGAGTACGAATATGCAGGCTTGGGAAACTCAGACTCTACTGGTGCCACCTTGATGCGCTGTTGTAACGGCTTTACGGATATTGTTGTAATAGTTGTGGTGCTGGCAGAGGATGATGACGTATTGGCTGAACTACTGTTGACAGTGATTGGTATGAGACCTGCGGTAAAACTACCACCACTGGAACCCGTCGACGGAGACGAGTGCGATGAGGATGAAGACGACGACGGCGAACCGATCGAATTGCTTGTATTCTGCATCAGCGGCGAGTGTACAGATGCAATGCTTTTTGGTGTAAAACTAGAGTTTTGTACATTTCGACCCACCAACTTTGTGACATGTTGTTGACCACCGCCAATGCTACCGTTGACATTCACAACATTTATATTTTGCAACGGACTGGAGTCACGTTCTCGTTTGAGCATAATCGTGCTGTTCGCTGCGCCTGATTGTCCATTTTGTATAGTTTTCGCACTAGATTGCTGCTTCAATTTATTGTAAGCGATGCTGTTGGCAAAAGTTAGACCACCAATACCGGGCGCCAGCTTAATGGTATTCGTTGTCGTGCTATTCAGCATGCCATTGGAGTTTAGCAAACTACTGCTGATGTTACTGTTTCCACTACTGGTGCTTTTTGTGGAGCCATTTGCAGTCTGCTTACCATTCACGTTGCCTCCAACACTGTTGCTTGTGGCAGTAACTCTGTTCTCATCAGTCGCTGTGGCAGTCAGCTTGCGCAACTCAACGCCTAAATCCTTTTTGATTGTATCCACCGCACTTGAATTTTTACGTTGGAGCGCTGAATTCGTCGCCAATGTGGCCGGCGCTGTGGTAGCGGCTGTCACTGTCGATGAAATCGCCACTATCTGCTTTGGTATGTGTGAATAAAGCTGCTCGTTGCGCATCGCACCGGCACTAATTTTTAATTGGGCAGGTGAAAATGTTAAATGTGATTTGGTTTCGTTTACGTTCGGTGACGCGGGTGGCGGAGAACATACGGAATTCTGTAAACTATTCGCATTTAAATTTACTTTCGGCGATTTATGTAGCAATGATGAGGATACATATGGCATTACGGACACAGGATCCACACAAGCGCCCAAATCGACATAGTAATCGTTCGATGATGACCATGACGGTCCTGAGATGTTTCCCAGCCAAGAGGAAAAGCTGTTTGTGGAGGAAGATAGCGCAGCAGCGTTTAAATTACTACCACTACTGTTGTGTATAGAAGAAATTGCGTCGATAGCGTGATCAAAAGAGGACGGCAGATCGTTGACCAGGGAAGCGAATTCATTGCTGCCCCCCACTACACTCGAAATTTCGCTGCGTATGTCAACGTCCAGCATGTCCTGCAACGAGTCTGAGATGTATAGATCCAATGTCGGTCGCGATGTTTCCTTGGGAAACAAAAAAAGAAAAATTAAATTAGACTGTGTTACGAGTTGGAAATAAAAATGTTAAAATAGTAAAAGTAATACTCTTTGCATACATATGTATATGTATGAATATAGTGTTAATAATTACGGGCGCGATAAAATATATTGCTATAATCCAGTGAAGGAAGGGGTAAGATAGGGGACTATTACTCCCGGACCCGCAGTTCTCATGCGTTCGTTATTCTGCAACAACTTTTTGCAGTTTTTTTTTCTTTAACAATTCACTACAATCATCCCCGGGCCACAAATTTCTCCCTACGGCCCTGCCATATTCAAATCATTATCCATATTTTTGAAGTTCTAGTATAAAATGTAGCTATGTATATACTATATCTATAAATACATATACTTATTTGGTATGAGTAAAAGAAATCACATGGAAACATCTTTCAATAAATTTACATGGAAACCAGGCAATCAGAAAACACTACGAAGTAGAGAGGAAAGCGTAAAACACGAAGAAATTGACTAGGCGCATTTTCCATTTCAGACACTCACACCTTAATATAATAAAATTCCGTGTTCTGAGCTGATAAATAATATCAACAACACCAAACCTATGAACCTATGCCAATACGGAAAAACTTCGAACCAGCCTTGCCCAGATAATGAGCAAGTCACACAAAAAGACATAAACATGCTAACAATTCTAAATTCTTTTCATTTTTATACCTGCACAAATATATATATATTTTTACCAGTAGATACACACATAATGTGCAAGCAATCGTTTGTATGTATCTATATTCTAGAAGTATAACATTTCGCAGAAATTTGTTCACGTTTTTGTGCCTTGCTTGGCAGTTACAAGGGTGCCTCTGAGCCGTTGTGAATTTATCAAGTTGTATGTACATATGTATGTTTTTTACTCGAAGTTATTGCCTCGGAAGACATACAGCAAGCAAGAAGTTACGTCTGTATGTATGAATGTTTATCGTAAAAAAAACAACACCGCTTGAACTTGTATAAAAATAACAAGGTACCTAAGCAGAAACTGAAGTTAAAAAAATATCTTGGCAACCAACAATGCATGAATAATAAAACATATATACACTTGGGCACGAAATTACAAAATTACATATATCCATTTGCTCACCATTCGTAACACACATGTGCACAATCAATTGTAGGATATTTTCCCGCGCAACGAGAAATCATTAACACGAGTATTGATATAAGTAATATGTAAACAAAAGTTCTACGAATACAAATAGACGCAAGGAAACTCCAATTTTAGCAGAAAAAGAAAAATAAACAAAAGGCAACGAAAATTGAAAGGAAACGAATTATCGCAAATGTTAAAGAACCCAGGTGGAAAGTGTTAGCATTGTGTACAGCTGCGTTGAAAATATAGCACTTAGTCCATTGTAAATCTAACAAAATATGCGGTTGTACATACTTTTCAGGGATTAACTAAATACTTTTTAAGACTATCGAAAACTCCGTTCATGGGATTCTTCCAGTTGCGCTCTGTAGCTCATATGTACGTATGTATGGATACTTTCCTTTGTTGAAATCTTCAGTAGAAAATTATATAATTAGTTACTAATTTTCACCTTCAATTATCTTTTTCTTATTGGGCTCAATGATTGTAGCAGTTATAAATATTTATTGAATCAGTAAACATAATTTGTCTTTAAGCTATGACTAAAGAGAACTGGTTTCTTATGAAGTCTGCTATCGCAATAGCAGAAAAAGTGCAATTATATAGTGTAGGTATATTAATATATATTTCTGCATATACAATACATACATATGCATACACCCAGTACAAACATATACAATAAATTTTAATAAATACTTATACATATTTACATATGATTATTATATCATTCAGAATTCGGTATCTCTGCACATTCATTTCGAGATTCTTATTTACAGATCGGCAAGTGGAACATTCCATACATTTTGGGGTTGTTGGAACGATGCCTTTCTGGACTACAAATTGCATATTAGAAATGTATGTACATATATAGGTCAGTATAGTCCCTTTTGTCAATAACAATTGTAAAACAATGTCAAGTGGTAATAGCGCTTATCAATGAAATTATTAACAAATATCCAGAAAGCATTTTCAGAGTAATAATTATACATCACCGACAGACAACTTGAGGAACCCCCTATTGTTTTTTTTATTGATGCTTTCTTCTGAAAAGTATTAACTCATATTGTGAAGAGAAACAATTTACATTTTTAACATATGACACTACACTTAAGTATCATCAGAAACCAATAAACGCGAAATCTTTAAAATCCGCACCAAAGCACAAGCAATATTATTTGCACTTGTATTTGATGGAGTCATTTCTCCATTCGAGGTTTTTGAATAAAATCTTTGAAATCAATATTAGCATTATTCTTACTAGTTAACTTGTTGTTTAGTTTGCTTTGCTACAAGTTTTCAATTGTACTAATCGTAAGTAAGCCTGAATATGGACTATGTGGAAAAAAACGGCCGACTAACCCCTTGGAAAAGCGCAGTTGCAGCTAACATAACTATGTATATGGGTGTATGTGCATATGTATGCAGATATGTCTCCAAAAACATGATAAAAACAAAAACGTGAATATTATGAAAATGACTTCAAAGTAAGACGATGAAAAAATAAAACAAGCAAATTAAGAAATACAAGTGCAAGCAGCAAGAGCAAAATAAAATACAAAACAGCAAACGACTTTTTGAGTAAAGGGGTGAGAGGAATGATGGCAGCGCTGTTCTTTTGCATGTCAACTTTGTGCCACAGATGGGCGCCAACCAAAACAAACAACTGCTCTCCAATGAGCACAATGCACGGCCACTATGTTAAAGATACATACCTACACACATACATGTATATTTTCGACGTGTCAGCAGCCAAGTCGCTGTCGCAATTTAACGTTACCCATGCATTTTCTTCTCAAGACTTTTTACCCTTTCTTACCAAGCAAAGGAAGCAAAAGGTTGATCAAAGCATTCCAAAGTGAAGTATGACACTAATTCAACGACATACCGACATACATACATCCACATATTGGTGCATTAAAGCATCTCTTATCTTCACACTCCGCTCATAAATGTTAGACTAAACGATTTTTATGAATTGCTGATTGTTGAGGAATATACATACTTACATATGTGTGTTTATGTGCTTATGTAGGGCTGACATGCAACATATCGACTGTCGATAAGGTTGATACATTTGCCCGCGCAACTTTTTATTTAAATTTTTTTTTTCGATTTTAAGTTGGATGCTTTTATGAACGAACTTAATTGTTTATGAGAAAATTTGCACATGACCAACTTTTCTAGAACTCTTTAAGACATGCCTTATTTTCTTTCGACGGTGCATGGCAGAGTGAATACATTAGTAAATAATCGCAAATTCATGCAACAACAATGTATGTATATAATTTGTAATTGCTCATAATTTAATGTTCAAATAAGCAGATAAACCTTAAGTTTAAGATTCTATTTTTACAGAGATTAAAATTAAACTTCCTGTTTATGAAAAAAATCTTACTTGTATAAAGAATTTAAAATATTTATTCTAATTATGTCAATTTTCAATCCCACCTTTTTGAGACAGCCTGTATAAAATGTTTCAGCAACACGTTAATGTTGCCGCAACATTAATTGCAATATTTCGATTTTCGAAGATCCAAGTGTAACGCTCTCGTTTGTTTGCAACATTTACATCTCCATTGAATTTACAAAATCGCTCTCTCATTTTATATACACATACATATGTATTTATCTATTAACAGTTGAAATAACAGTGCGAAGAGAATGGCTAAGCCGGCAGAGGACAGAAGAGCGGCCGAACACAACAATGTCTGTTGCAACAACAGCAATGAGAATGTTTACCGAGTCGTCATTTCCAACGCTTCGTAGGTACACATGGCGCATTAATATGTTCGAGAGCGCATGTACAAATCTACCGGCAACCGTCTATGTTAGTCTACATGTGTGCCTGAGTGTTAGCACAATGAAACTGGGTACAGTTGCCGACAAAACACATTCACACAGCAGACTCAACCACTACTATTTTTCCAGACCGGTCGGTCGTCAACTTTTAATTCTGAGCCTGCAGAGCGTAGCGAATACAAATGGAGTTTCGCTCAAACAAAGTGTTGCCATCGGTAATAATACTTACTACCCCCTCTGTTGTTGTTTATTGGTAGGATTTCGCTAATTTTCTTTTTACATTTTGAATAGTATTTTTTCTACATTTCTATGGAAATGGACAAATTAATTTAATATGTACATACATTTGTATATAGATGTTAATAATAATAATTCATTTTGATTTGCTTTTTACCCAATCACATAAAAAATTATTTTACCGTTCAAAAAAAATTATATAAATAAAATAAAACAAAAAATTAAAATTTTTCGATACTTTACCGATAAAGTAGTATTCTGCAGCAAAGAGAAATTATTGCAAGCTTATACACGAACGCCAAATTTGTATGATTTTGCAGTTTTAGTGTTAGTCCGATTAAATGTCTAAAAAGGAAATCGTCAATCGAACCTCATTTGCGTTGTCGATTTTTATGACTAAAAATTATTATTAATATTTATTTCTAAATAACATTGCATATTCGTTTACCAATTTTCCAGAATTTTTCTCTCCTTGCAAGTTTTTTCGACATCGTGTATATTTCCACAAAAATCATAATAATTATTTGCAGCCCGAACGCATAATATTCCCTACTTCTCCCAGTTCAAAAATAATTATTATATTTATGTACAAACTGTATAAGTAACTTAAAATCTCGCATAGGTGATCATGCTTTATCGAGAATTGACTACCACTATTCTTTATTTGATACAAAATTAGTGATTTAGAAATTTCTTCTTGAGATTCATCCTCAAACGAATTTTGTATGAATTCTATCTAAATGGCAACTACGCTCGTATACACAACAGGCGTAATTCTCAACCCCAACCAAAGAACAACTGTCATGGTTTATACTATCAATTGCCGGCCGTGTTCGCTGCACTTCCAGCTGCCTTTGAACGATTAGCTGCTACCTTGTTCGTGTTTTGAAAATGTCTAGTCAAATCGCCGTGTTTGTTACTTGTTCGAAAGGTATATATGTATAAATGTTTTTGTGAATATACTAACACACATAATGTAAAACGTTTGATGCGCCTGTTACTGTAGCCAAAATAAGTTTACAAGCTTACATACATATAATTAATAAATACACACAATTTTCGTTCTCTCCCCTATCCAGTTGTCGGTCTCTTTGGAATCCTTTTCGGTTTTTAATCGAAAATGTGTAGCCTGTTTCCTGTGTTGCAGCTGCTCTTTTATACTCACAAATGAATACATTTACATATTCATATGTACATATATGAGCTACATGAACACACACATCCGTACGTATAGAGAATTTGTGTGATATGTATAACCAACCGCCCTAATGTAATTTTTTTGGCGCGCAGGACAATTAAAATGGGAGTAAAATTACAGTCTCTTATCAATGCCATATGCCAACAAGTAGTATGAATACAGAGCGAAATACGTACATACTTATGTACATATGCACAAGTATATAGCCGTACGCATGTTAACTAAAAATAACACTGTGACCTTCCAGAATGCCATACAAAATGCTTTGTCTGGATGTTAACTCGATTACTCCCACTTCTTTCAGGGTCGTTGGACGAGGAGGCATATAAAGAGTTCGAATGCATATAACTATATAAATGGTATACATACATATTTGTATGTAGAAAAATCGATAACATTCATTTTGAACGATACAGAAATGATAAGTTTCATATTTCAACAGGATACCATAAGTGCCAGCAGGAGCGTGCATGTGAACTTTCAGACCGATATACATACATACATTCAAATGTGTGTATGTATACTTAAAATGTGCGTAGGATATATTAGTAGAACTTCATTCAAATTTGCTCAATGTAAAAAATAATTTATTTGTAAAAATATTTTTCGAACTTCATATTGTGAAAGTATTTACATTAAAATACTGTGTTTATTTACAAAGCCATAAATTTTTTTTGATAAAGGCGAACAATTTTTATTTATGTACTGTCCTTGTTAAATTAAATTCTATTCTAATTTCACTTTTTCCGCAAGGTCAGTACACAATGCAATTTTGAAAAATGTTTAAAGTACATATTTCTTCAATTTACATAATTTTCTATTTTGGACATTGCGAAATAATTGTTTGAAACTTTCTCCAAAATCTATATAATGTATTATATAAGATTATAATAGACACAAGGTCAAGCACATGTGTTCTAGACAGCCTAATCAATTGAGTGTTTGTGATTTATGGTAGCGATTTTCCAAACCTTTGTTGAAGTCTTTCACACGCTGCAAATTTTCCAACAACCCGTAAACATGACCCTGTAGCCTTCTTATCCAGGTAGAAAATTTTAAAGAAACAATCACCTCTAAGAAGATCCTTAAAATACAGTAGTTAGGACATTATCATTCGCATCTTTGAATGAGCACACATATTTCTATACATACATACATATGTGTTGCTATATAGAATTACTAGCCTATACCAGCTGTCGCAAAAGCAAAAAACAAAAAAAAACTAAAATTTACCGAATGCCAACAATAGTATGAGGGAAGCAAAATGCAATTTTACACAGTTTTGTAGAACAACCCCCAAGATGTAAAACTTGGCAAATACAGGATCTTAAAGAATGTGGCCCACATTAAAATTGAAATCTGTAATTGTGACACAAGCAATCAAATATGCAGAGCACAAAAAGGTTAATGTCTCTGCTATTATTATGTACTTATGTATGTATGTATATCCTACATTATGTAATAATTTAATTTCTTAATGGGCGTAAAACTGTTATTTCCGGAATAGTCTCAGTAATCGATTCCATTTTGGACTATATACATGCATACATATTTATATTGTACATTCACACCAATTGTAGGTATGAAGGTGTATATAAAGGATAATTTTAGAGGGAAATTATTTTAATATTCCCATATCTACATCAGGACTACTAGTTATGGATTTATAATATACAAATGTAAGTATGTGCATCGTAAAATACTTCTAAATGATCCAAATGCTTCAGAAACAAGAAATAATATAAACTTCGGTTGCACCGAAGCTATAACACCCTATACAAACACAAAAGATTCCATACAAGTACTGAATTTTTATCTTTTTGTTTGTTTGTATGACAAGCATATGCTATATAGTGGTCCGAAATTAACATTTATTTTTGGAGATTGTACCGTTGATTTAGACATTAATTCATACCGAATTTTGTGAGGAAATGTCGTCAAATAAAAAAGTTTTCCATACAAGCAAATGATTTAATCGTTTAGTTTGTATGGTAGCTACATACATATATATATGTATGTATGTATGTATGATGTATATGCTATAGTGGTTCGATATCGGTTCCGCCGAATGAGCAGCTTCTTTGAGAGAAAAGGACGCGTTTACAATTTCAGATCGATATCTCAGAAACCGAGCGATTAGTTCGCGTATAAACAGACAGACGGACATGGCTAAATCGACGCAGCTTCTGGGCTTTACAAACTTCGTCACAAAATTAATATACCCTGTTAAAGGTATAAAAGCGTTAAATTTACAGCAATGAAGACAGTTTAAGAAGAAAAAAGGTAATTCATTGTTCTTTCGTTTCTTCATTTCTATTAACTCTTAGCTTTTGTGTTTTGACCAAAATCGTTCGATTTCGTTTTCATGCGACTATGTTTTTTTGTTTTCATTTTAACGTTAATAATATAAAATAAATACATATGTACATATGGACTAAAAAATTAAGTAACAAATAAAAGTGTTTTAATATAAAAGTATGTATTACTCCCATACAAGTACCAGCAATATCTTACATACATACATACATACGTGCAATGCATAAGTATAAGTATGTATACAAACATACTCATGGTAATTGAGTTTCTGAAAGTCAGAAAAATACAAGATTTGTGTTTGCAAAAAAAAATGCACATACATACATACTTACGTATGTATATCAGTCGTAACACGCAGGAAATCGAAGCGATAGCAAATTTACTCACATACATGCATACAACGATCAATTTAAAACCTTTTTTATTATTTTTTTTAAATAGCTGTTACATAATTTATTCGCATATGCTATACCATCTACTATACTAAGGTAATGCAAAGTCTTATTCCATATACATATTTATGTACATCTGTATGTTCGCCTGTACATATCTACATATAATGTGCAAAATATAAGTGCAATAAACTTTTCATTGGAGTGAAGCTCCAAAATTTTAATTACAGCAAGAAATATTGGCAAGCAGAAACCACATTATATAATATAAGTATGTATGTAAGTATATGCTTTAGTAGATACAGTGGCACTTAGCTCACTTAAGAAATAAAGTAGAATTAAGCGAATAAGAATCAAACATTGCGAAACGGTGTAAACAGAAAACGCCGCAAAAATAAAACAGAAGGCAATACTCAGATATAAGCTAAGAGTTTACATTTTCCACAATACAATAAAACCGATGTGCTTTTTCGTGTTGGCCAAAGGTACATATGCTGTTGTTGGCACTCACAAAAGTTTCTGTTGAGCGCTTTGTGGCTCCTTCTCTGATTATTCCATGTATGAGTTAGTTCAAAAATGACACAGATAATTCAGCAGTTTAAGCTCAAAGAGAGGAAAGTGGATCCTACAAATGCACATGCACTCATACAACAGTTAGTGAGGGGAATCGCACTTACACACAAACACATGCATAATTTGTTATAAAATATTGTTGGATAAAATTCGCAAATGGGTTTGTGTGGCCAACAGAGCTACGTATGCACCAAGTCGGCATTCAGCAACCAAAAGAGCACAATAGGGAAATTTTTCGGGGAACAGCGGTTTAGCGGTTCGACGGACGTGCATACAAAATACAAAAAGAAACAATCTGACAAAAGATCCGTTCCTTTTGGCGCGATTTCTGCAGACTTCCCACTTATAATTGCTTTCATTTGGTATTTACATTAATGCATATCTCTAAATTTACCGCAGCAGTAAAAACTCGTACATTAACAAATATTTTACTACGATTCACGATGTGATACATGAAAATAAATTACCAGTCTATTTTGGCCACAAATTTGTATTAACAAATTACAACGTTTGGTCAGTTAAAAGCCTAACAATCCATCAGGTTGTATTTGCTCAACAGTAATTCGCAATAAATGTTATTTGCATGTAGGCATCTCGTAATGTTAGTTAACATCGAGAATGTGCACAATTTAGTGTTATGTTTGTTATCGCAACGATTTTTACATATGCATAAATTTTAATCTACATCACATGCATACATGTATACAAAACTTACTCATTCGTGGACACAAAGAAACTTAATTTTACTTTCATTATAGTGAGCAATTTCAAACTTCTCTCAAAATTTACAATTCTCTGCTCGCGAAGAAAATTCGCAATTCTCTCTCTCAGTAGGGAGATGAGAACACAAATGACATTAACACAAAAACCGGCCGGCAGCAGCACAAAAGCACAGACAAAACACGAAAATTAAACAAAAACAAAATAGTCTTGATGAAAATGCATCAAAGCAGCGATTCAGCGCCGACGGCGATAACTTTAGTGTGGCAGAGACCCCACATGTGTTGATGCTTGCTAAGTGCCGTTTCAGACAGGGACGCAAAAGAGTCTCATACCAGTTTATTGTGGGCGAGGGGACGACGAGGAAAGACGAAGGGACCGTGCCACTCGTGTTCGGGTGGCACGCTTTGTGTTCTTGTTCGTAACAGCTCGCTGCTACTCTTTTCAGCATTCCTTTTCACTTTCAAATCCTTTGAATGGTTGCAAGAGCGCTCGGTTTCAAATGAATTCGATCGCAAATTTGAGTTCTGTTATCTATTTTTGTATGTAATATGCAAATACGTATGCATAGAATAATGGAAATATTATGACAAATTGTAAATAAGGAGAAAATTAAGATATAGATTATGGAGTAAAGAAATTATGAATTTTTAATACGGAGTAAAGAAATTATGAGTTTTTAATACTTGAAGATTAGGAAATTCCTATTATAAATTTGGCCTTGAAAATATTAGTAGCGGATATTCAATACATTCTTGTGGATTAGGGAATTCCCGTCTTTAGTATTTTTTTGAAACTATTTAGCGGGTAGGTACTTGTATTATGCATATTGTTCTACCATATTCATGGTAATTCATTGCAAGCAAAATGTGTGACCATCATCTCAACATACAAATGAAATACGCAGCATGCAGTGTTGCGCGGTGTTGCGCAGTCGAACCGCACAAATATTTACGAACATTTTGTGAAAAGGAATGCAGAAAAACTAGACTCGAGTTGCTGGACTCTTTTTGACCGTGTGAATGCCCAGAGCGACACCAAAAGAAAATTTGAAAAACATCAGATTCTTTTGCATCCCTGTCTGAAACGGCACTAACAGCTTGTTTACTCCCAAAAAGGTAGGGGCGGCAGATACGAGTATATAAAGAATCGATAATTGTATGCGGGCAGTCGCTGCTAGCTTTTGCAGCAAAAAATGAGCGCCGAACGTAAACCATTGCGAACAAATGTGAATGGTAAAATAGTAGAAATAAAAGACAGCAGCAATGGTAATAGTAAAGGCAAATAAACAGAACAAAATAACGGACTGACAAGAGCGACGAACGCAAACAATGTGCAAAGGGAGGGGAAGAAATAACGAACAATTATATATTAAACAAATTAAACTTGGCACATACAATTTTGCGGAAGAACGAGAGAGAAAAAAAGAGAAGAAAATCGTGTTAACAAACATATAAAACCTTTAAAATGTTGCAAAATTTTTTATTGAATAAAAACGCTATTTCGGCGACGCCATGGTAAAATAAAGAAAGATATGTGGATGTGTTGAAACCGAAAGAAGGTAATACTTACGGCGTACTTATTAAGGATTGCATCGTGGTAGCCACTTGAATAATCCTCCAGCTCGAACATTTTTAAAGTTTGTATCATTCACCGATTTGCCGCTTTTTTTTTTTGTCTTTTGCTTTATGTTGCAATTTACTTGAATCAACTCCACGATTTAGTTGTTCTTAACAAATATGTGACGTTCCGTAAGAACGTATGTACATTTAACGGAACCGTTTACATGACGAGGGAGCCGGCGGAGCTGGTGCCAAACAAAAGAACACAATCGCAACTTCACACTCACAGAAACGTATTGGCATGTATAATTGTTTTACTACTTAAGCTTATTCGCATTGTCTTCTATACACTTTCGCACATTGCCTACACATATATTTGTTCAAAATGTTTTTCTTTACCGCGCTCAAAGTTGTTAATCACAGCTAGCCATACTTCAATATTTTACTTTGTTATGTTATGTGCATATTATTGGTTTAATTCGTATCTTAAACTTTAACTTCATAAAAGAACAAAATAGTTTTACGCAAATGTGTTTCTTAATTGCCAATTCCGTTATGAGTAGTTCTTACATTGGCTTGCGATATAAATGAAAAATATATACACAATAACATTTTTCACATGGGCTTTTGGTTAGCCTTAAACCGTTTCTTGTGTTTTTCAAAAATTAAGCGGGCTCTTCGTATTTCTTCCGTTTCTTTTCCTTCCTCTCCACACACATTCGTCTCACTGTTTTTCGTTCCAAATTCGCAGCCGGCCGGTCAAGCAGTCGTTGGGCACAAAATCCAATCACACTGAAAATATCCAAACGTAACGAACAACTTGTAGAAAAGCGCGCACTTCCTCACTGAGCGCACAAAATCAACTGAGAGCATTGCTGAGAAGAAATTTCATATCAACCGACAGCGCTGCGCGCGGAGCAGGTAGCGTCGATAGCAGCTCTGCGCGCAGCACAACGCAACACAACTTCGAAAGAGAACGGAGAGTACACAAAATTCAACCGAATGAATACTTTTTAAAATTAACGTTCGCCGTCGGTTTTCATTCGCTTTGTACATACATTCTACGGGTTACCATATTTTAAGTATGGTTTTTTTTAAATACTTGCCAAATTAGTAAATAAATAAAATTTATTAGATTTTCATATAGTTTCACACCTGGGGAAAATTAGTACACCGATGTTCAATTTGCACACTACGAGTAATTTACGAAAATTGAATTCTTATATTTTTTTCAACCCCTAAATCTGTAGTCCAGAATTCTATACAAAACTAAATCTGCATTTTATTTTTATTTATATTAACTTATATAACTATAGTTTAACTCGCCTATTATCATACACATACTTATATATTTTAAATACTAAATCTCCCGCCTATGAGCTTTATTTTTGAACTTGGGGATTTCAAACTGTCGAATGATTAAAAACTACAAAAACAAACACACTTTTTATTAATAATATGAAGCAATATTTATTGCAAAAAAATGTATATTAAGTATAATAATTATGCATATTCAACAAGAAACGAATGAAAGTATACGAATGACATGTTTAAATCTCGTTTTTAAATTAAAAACGACTACGAACATACTGACGTTCTTTACGTTTGAGCAATTCATGCGAGGTCTCTCTCGGTACATTATTTCGAAACAGGGTCGAAGTTTTGAAATTTAGAGCGTTTACAGTTGCTGAATTGGCACCTGGTCCACAGGTTTGCATAGTATTCACACCCTGCATTTTGGCGTTGGGCAAAACTTCTTCCAAAAATACACCCGACTGTGACCACTGCGGTTTGGGCAATACGAGTTTGGGATCAACGATTTTCTCTTTACGTTTACGTCCGCCACTGTGGGAGGTTGGCAATTGTGGCACTTTGTCCTGACCAGCAGTTAGAATGTGACGCACTTTAAAACCGAGTGTGCGCGGAGTAATGGGGCTTTCGCGAAAACCGTTATTTATTTTTTTCTTCGGTGTGACCGGTTCTTCCAATACTATGCCAGTAGGTAGTTCAATTCTGTTTAGTATGGCTCTCTTCTTTTTTGGAGGACTAAGCACTTCCTCGACAATTTCACCTGTTGCACTATTTAAGCGTTGTACAATCGGTTCACGTGCACGTTCTCTCTTACCTTTATTGCATTAAAAAGGTATATGAATATATGTACGCAAAATATGTGTAATTTAACTTTTGCTTACTCTTTTTTGTTTCAGTATGCGACTGCGAATTCGAAATCGATTCTAATAATTGCATAGGAAGACGTTTATCGGCATATGTCTCTTCATTTAACTAAAATACAAAATTGTGAAATTAAATACCTTGTAATCTCAAGATAAATTAATACCATACCGGCAATGATAGTTTTTCCTTCTTAGGTTTACTGGCTTCTTTTAATAAAATTTTTGCCGAAGCTTTGAAAGCCTGTTCCAATGCCAATGTTGTTTTTTCTATAATGGATTATTGAAAGTTATAAAATATTTAAGACTTGCTGTGATGTACAAACCTTTGGACTGCTTTATATCTTTTTTAATCTCGGGTACATCATTTGCTGATTCTCCTTCCGAAGGCAATGAATGTTTTGACTCTTTTTTAGATTTTGGAATTATTAGTCGACTCTGAAATTAAATGAATAAATAAGAAATATTTAATTGAAAATATACTCGCTCGTTAATACCTTCTTATAGTTTTGCTTGCATTCTAACTTAGCACGATTTGCGGCATCTAATATTTCATCACATCGATCCAAAATATGTCCAAAATCTTTTTTTTTATTTTTGGTTGTTATAACTTCTCGTGGTGTAGACCCATTAGTTTCCTTCTTATTTATCAGTTCGTCAGCTGAATCTTCGGAACAACTGTTATCCACTTCTGTTTTAGCAGTCTCTTGTATGGGTCCGCAAAAAGATTTAGATAACCGCGATTTTGATGCGTTTTGTAAACTTTTATTTGTGTTATTTGTAACGTCTGTATCGCTATTATCAGCCAGCGTCTCCAATTCATACTGAATTGAATCGCAAAAAGATTTAGAAAAGCGTGATTTCTGGGCGCATTTTTGACTCTGTAATTCACGCTTTTGCTCTTCAATATTTTCAAGCAATGATTTAGACGGATTAAAATCTTCATTCGATATAGGTTGTAAACTGTTACGTTTCGATATCTTTTTGCATTCGAACTCTTGATTATTCTGTGCAAAAGTCGACAACATTGATTTCCGTTTTCGGTTCTCAGTGGAAAATTGTACATAGGAATGTGCCAACTTTTCAAGTTCCTCCTCATCTTGTTTATCAATGTTTTTATCTGCCTCAGAAGAACCGGATTCCTCCATTTGATTGATATCTTCGGTTTTTGTAACACAAACACCAATTGAGAAGGAGCTATGACGTATACGATCTTTGACAGTTATACGCTTTTGTTTTGCTTGGCAGAAAGATAAGCTTAAACCAGAATTTTTCAACTTTGGGCCAGATTTTCCAACGGTAAGTTCATCAACAGTTTCTTCAGCGGACGATTCATCTGAAGAGTCCCCTTCAAAAGCCTGGCCAACCTCTTGCGTCTCAGGTATTTCAATATCTTCACCATCAATATTCTCGTCATCGTTTGATTCATTTTGTGATTGCACATCATCAAGATCATCTGATTTGGTGCCTTCATCTACTATCAATCGCTCATTTATGTTCTCACTTGAATCAGAATCGTTACTTGAATTACTTTTATTCTCGGTGCTAATTATGTCAGCATCATCGATTGTTCCGGTTGTTTTATTCGATTTATGACTGGAATTGATAGAAGATGCAGATTTTCGAATCGAGCGTTCCATACTACGATTCAGGGTATTAGTGTTCATGTTAATGTGGCTTGTAAGTAAACCGAAACCGGATTTATTATTAACTTCTTTGTCACATTCAGTTGATGCTTTTAGGAGTTCTTCATAATCATTCTTGTCATCTGCAATTTTTTGACATATGGATCTTGACAAACTTTGACTTCGTCTATTACTCTGCTTGGTTGGTGACGAAATGGTACTCTCAACTGTTTCGGAAATGCCATTACCATTTGCTGTTTCGCTGTCGACATCTCTTCCTTGGCTAGTATTTAATTCTGTTTCATTCCTAGTTTCCTGTTCATGTCGGCTATTTTCCTCATGATTACCATCATTAACAATATTATTACTTTTATCATTTTCCTGCGTATTTTCTTCCCTTTTGGTTTCCGATGCTTGATCGTTAGAAGATTTTGATTTAGTATTAACGGTTGCTTCCATTGTATGTTGCGGTTTTGAAGGTTCCTTAGTGTCATTATCATCATCATCCGTTGTATCATCAATCATTCTGCTAACTTCGAAAGTTAGTGGTTTCTCTGAATTGTCGGAACTTTTACGTTTGCTATTCGTCTGTACGGAATGTATTTCCGCTTGTTGCTCTATTTCACTTTCACTAGAGGATAAAATACGATTTCTTTGGTTCGATTTATTATTTTTTTTTGTTTTGTCCGAATTAGTCTTTGAAAAGTTTGGATTGCTATCATCTTCGCTCTCACTGGTTATCAAAATACGGTTATATGAATTCTTTTTATTAGAGTTTTTGGATTTATCTATAAAATCCTCATCATTATCCTCATCAATATCTGAATATTCAAGTAGGGATTCTTCTGAATCAGATGTTACAAACGAAGCATTATCTTCATCATCTTCCTCATTACTTTCTTCGGTGTCTTCACTACCAATCGACTCACCTTCATCTAAAATCTCGTTTTCCAACATTTCCTTTCTTTCTTCTTCATCCATTGAATCTCCACTTTGGTAATTGTCGTCTACCTCCATTGCCTCATCATCAATAAATTCTAATTTTTGAAAACTTTCTGCATCTTCTTCCTCCTCCTCTTTCTGTTCATTATTTTCTTTAGAAATTTCCTTTCTGGTATCAACAATTGGTGATGTTTTTAATTCATCTTCAACGTTTAATGATTGAGGCATTGCCTCTTCATCATTAGTTATGGCGAGGGTGTCAATTTTTCCATCCGTTGTTGCGCAACCACTTACATTATGTGTCCATGATTTCGAAAACAAATCGTCAGCTTTTTCACTGTCATTACTTATGTTTGTGGGTGCTATCTTGAACGACACACTTTTATCGTTAGTTTTTACGTCTTTCTGGTTATCCTGTAATGTAGTGGTTTCATCTTGTTTTACAGGAGAAACTTTTTCTGCATTAATGCCTATTTCTTCGAAAGTATTTGTTATTATTGGTGAATTGATTATTAACTTTTCCGTTTCAGTTTTTGAATTTGATACCGAATCTAACATTGGAGTGGAACTTTGCAGTTTTGTGGAAAGCTTCCTTTTTTGAGGCGTATATTCGCTTACTCTTTTGTCTGCCTCTTGAATATTATTTATTTCTTCAACGTCATTTGTGGCATCATGAAATTCAACAGAATCTTTTGAATCATTTGCCATTTCAGGTGCGTTTTTGTCTTTTGTTGTTTCCATGTCTGCGCTTGCATCTTTAAAACTACCGTTAGACTCTTTATCACTTTGGAAAGACTGATCTTTTGAGTCGTTTATGGAATTCATTGCTATATAGCTTTTACTTTTAATCGAAGCTGGAGTTTTAGGGTAAGAACTCTTCACCTCTTCGTCAACCTCCATATCGGTGAATGTTACAGATTTCGAGTTTCGAGGTGAACTAACGGCAGATGTTTTACCACACATTTTGTTAATAACCTTAGGCGAAAGCTTTTCCAAAATAACAACGCTTTCTAGAACGGGTTTTGATGTATTTACCGGTGATAAAGATGTGTGAGGACTATTGGCAGTGGTTTTTACGTCATTATGAACGCTTTCAACAACGGGTTTTGATGTATTTAACGGTGATAAAGATGTGTGAGGACTTTTGGCAGTGGTATCAGCTTTTACGGCATTATGTTCAAAGCTATCGGTTTTATTAGACAAATCTTTATTTTCAGTTAAAGGCGAATCTAAACTTTCCAACTCTACTTCTTTTCCTTCGTTTGTATTAAATAATTTCATTTTTGTGTCTGAAATTTCAAATTTCTCATTCGCTTCATTTTGCTTGTAAACAGTTGAAATTTCATCACACCCCTCAGTATCATTAGGTGCCCTGGTGTCTTCTAATAAATCAATTGTTTCAATAACTGTGCTATCTTTTGGAGACACACTCTTTGCCTTTAATCTTGGTGACATTCTTACTGGAGTTTTCGTTGAATGTTCCTTTATTATTGGAGTGGTACTATTAACATTTTCATTACGATTCGTTGGCTCATCTTCCAGATTAATCACTTCAATATCGGAATCACTCTCGCTATCTTGCTTGGAGCGTCGAGATTTCGGTCCAGGCTTTTTCCTTGCAGCTCCGGAGCGTGGAGTTTTCTCTACTTCTGTTTGTGATGTCAATCGTCTTGTACGTCTTGTAGGCGTCCCTTTAGTATTTATTTCATTTCCTTTTGATTGGAATTTATCCACCGGACTCAGTTTGAGTGGCGTATGTATATCTGCTGCAGAAACACTGCTTTTGCGAGTGGTCCGCCTAGCCGGAACATTCTCAGCCTCATTCGACTCATTGATTGTAGCAGTTTTAGACTTGGCTGGCGTTTTTGAGGGCGTCGCACTTGAAGTAGTGGAGTTGCGTCGTGTTCCACGTAAAGCACGAGAAGGGGAACCTAAAATCGTATTGCTTAGTTTGGATATTGCAAATTGTGCTTCCTTATATGTACTTACTTGTCTCTGGTATTGAAGTAAGCTTAGTTAGTTGTGGTGTAGACGGCCTACTACTTGCATCGCTATCCACTGACGTTAAACGCTTTCTTAAGGATCTTGTCACTATGCAATTAAATGTGAAAAACAAACTTCAAATTAGACAATTTATGTAGGTATATACATATGTGAGATACCACATCTGTCCCGTTACCTCAAAACGGTATGCAATTAAATGCATTCCAAACAATATTTAACCCCAATTTCAACTTACCACGTCCACCAGTGGATGTGTCCTCTAAATTCTCCATAACGCCTTGTTATATTTTCTCACTACAATTAATAATATGCTGAGCTTTTGAGAAAACAAATTTTCCTAAATAAACTGAACAATTAATTTACATGTGCAACTATCGGAATCAATGGCAATGTATTTCACATGAAATCTATGCTTCTTCTTATCCGAAATTTGACTTTTAAACGGTTTTTACGATCTACATGGTTGCAAAAACAGTATCGAAATGAAATTATTGCCAGATAATATATCAATGAATTATAATTTAATAATCCTCCGACTTATTTTTATGAAAATCTTTTATGCGAGCTTTTTACCTTATACATATCTTTACATATTAAAATGGTACATACTTTTATATCTAAACCTATCTGCAGGATATATTAGAAAATTCTCAATTGTTACAGCAACAAGAAACCTATCAAATAAGAATATAGAACAATGCGTTTAAGCGAACTTACAGGATATTATGAAAATCGAGAATATTTCTTTGTTCAATATGTTTTACAAAATTTGTTCCAAAACATTTCAGGCCAATAAATCAATTTGACAGCAAAATATAAACTTATTCTTCTGGAATTTAATTTCTTACAAGTTCTCTCAACTGAATCAACAGCGAATGTGTTCAGATTATCTCCCACATGTCCGAATTCACTGGTATACAACATACTGTTTCCACTTATTTAACTTCCAGGTGTATAATTTCCATTGTATGCGATCCACTTATGTCTGATTCACATAGAAGTTCTGCCTCGCTTTGCGTCAGACAGAAAAGTTCGATATATGTTTTTGTATGAGTACGATCACATCGAAGCGAAACGCAGCAAAGAGAAGCATAATGTTGGGCAATTCTAATCTTTGTACGCTTTGCCAAGCAAAAGGGGAAACCCTGAAAGCAAAGCTTCATTTGAGGTACACTTTGGTTTCTTCGCTTCGTTGTTAAATTTATGTTCTCTGGTTAGAGTATCAATTGTCAAGCAAAGCGAGGAGAGCTGTATGTGAATGTGCCATTATTGTTCATACGTCAATAATATTGATAAGTGTATAAAGTATATAATAATGATTATGAAGTGTTTTATTTTGTTTAATAAGGGCCATTTCATTAATATATTCAGGTGGTGAAGAAAATGTTTCGAACTCTTCTAGCTTTTCTTTGTTTTCACTGTTTTTTAATTTGGGTAATATCCGACTGTGGTTGTAATAAAGGTTTGGATAGACAATCGAGCGAAATAAAAACGCCAATCGAAATTAAAAATGAAATCCCGGTTTGCAAGCAAAACAAAAAGGATGGCTTACACTACAGAGATTACTATCCAGAAGATCCGTTAATGGCTCTCATACCAGGAGGAAACTATTTAATAGGAACTGATGAGCCTCACTTTGTAACTGATGGCGAGGGTCCGGAACGTCTTGTTAAGATATCCGAATTTTATATAGATAAATTTGAGGTGTCCAATAGAGATTTTAATAAATTTGTGAAAGCAACGAATTATACTACAGAGACAGAAATATTTGGTGATAGCTTTCTATTTAAAACTCTTTTGACACCAGAAATGCAGGAAAAATATGTTGACTATCGTGTTGTCAGTGCTCCATGGTGGTTTAAAGTTAAGGAGATTTCGTGGCGAAATCCCCATGGACTGAAAAATAGCATAAATGGTTAGTGTTGTATTTAGTAAATTTTACTTTGGATATATATATTTACATATATACATATGTATTATATACATATATAAATATCTATTATATACATATATAAGTATGTATATATGATATTTCAAGAACAATTTATGATAAATGTATAGTTTAGATCCCCCACACTAAGGAGGTCTCAAAAATGAAATTATTTTTTTTAAATCGTCTTATTTTTACTCGAATATTACAAATCCGTGAGCGGAAAGTAAATTTTTTCAATAATTCTACAATATTTTTTTTATTCAAAAATAAATTGCCCTAAAAGTAAAAAAATTATAATACATTTAAATTAGGCCAGTGCAGAAAGAAGTTTGATGCGATTGAATTATGTCCACCCCGGTGTTGGACCGACCAGGTTTGATTTTTTGAAGCGCGGCCGAAGACCGCAAGTGCGGAAAGGAGTTCGACGATCTCCGATATGCGTTCATACCATTCGCGGCGCAAAAGAAATTGTTACTGTTACATTTCTTCAGTATTTTTTTTTATAAGAGAATGTTTAACTCGCTGAACTGGTAATTTCAGCTAAGTGATCTGAATTCTGCAGAATTTTTCCGCTACAACAACAACAACAACTAAATTACTTGAAAAATATGTATATATTTGTAAATATAATATATACATAACTTATTGAAAAAATTCACTTTACGCTCACGGATCTGTAATCTTCGCGTAAAAATTAGACGATTTAAAAAAAAATCATTTTTGAAGCCTCCTTAGTTGGGGGACCTAAACTATACATTTACCCAATTTATTTTATTTGTTACCCAAAGATTTGTGGGAACATCCAGTAGTCCATGTTTCTTGGAATGACGCTGTGGCTTACTGTAAGTGGGCGGGAAAAAGGTTGCCAACTGAAGCAGAATGGGAAGTAGCATGTCGCGGTGGAAAGAAACGTAAACTTTTCCCTTGGGGAAACAAATTATCACCTCTTGGAAAGCACTGGTAAATCCAAAAACAACGGATAGTTAAGAATAAATCATAATGTTGGTGTCTTTTTAGGCTAAATATTTGGCAAGGCGATTTTCCTGACGGAAATACATCTGAAGATGGTTACAAAATAACCGCTCCTGTAAATACTTTTCGCCAAAATGATTACGACTTACATAATATGGTCGGAAATGTATGGGAATGGACCCAAGATCGTTGGCAAAAAGACGATGTCAGTTCTAATCCACAATACGTAAAGAAAGGAGGCTCTTATTTATGCCATAAATCGTATTGTTATCGTTATCGATGTGCTGCTCGTTCGCAAAATACAGCAGATAGCTCATCTGGAAATTTGGGCTTCCGTTGTGCAAAAGATGGATAAGTATGTGCTAATTAAGAAGAGCTGCTAAAATAACTTATTTTAAGTAGTGTGCGTACTACAAAGTGAATTCACGTAATATGTGTATGTTTTATAGATAGATTAATTTTATTAAAGCAAGGACAAGATCATTAAATCATATTTTGCTTTGCTATTTCCGGGTTGAACTGGCTGTTATACTTTTGTACTATTCGTTGATGAGGCATATTATTAGTATTATCAAATTCTTGTACCGGTTTTATCGGTGCTAATAATGCCTCTTGTCGTGCTCGTTCACTAGCCTCTCGTATTAGGCGTTCCTTTCGCAGTTTTTCTAATTTTTCATGTTTAATTCGCTGTATTTCTTCCGTATCACTTTCGTTATCTTCATATTTAGAACGCTTTTTCTTTTTAACCTTTCCTTTTTTATGTTTATGTTTTTTGTGTTTCTTTGACTTTTTCTGTTTTGAGTTTTTAAATTTTTCTGTTATGCTTTCATACTTTCTTATTTTCTTTGATGGAGAAGAAGTATCCGGTGTAGAAATATCTTCACGAGAACGTTGTTTTAAGTCACTTTCTACACAGACTACTTTCTTTTGCTCAACTTTAGGGAGTAAAGCATTAATCAACGTCAAAGGATCCTGTGACTGTTTATTTTTCACATCTTTTTCAATGGTGTTACTATCACCGACCTCTGATCGTTTTGGTGCTACTTCATACCAGCTTCGTAATTTTAAGGCTTCATTAGTATCCTGGCCCAAGTATGTCAAGTACCCTATTTGCTTTTCATATTTCTCTTGTTCTTCTTTCTTTTCATCTTCTAATGCCTTATTTGTCTTTTTGATATGTGATTTATAATCAGAAAATAAATCAACATGTTGATTAACAATATTATTTCCACTTGGTGTGGAAAGATCATTATCTGTTGAAGATTCTTCCGTGTTAATCGAACAAATGGGTACACCAGATTTTTTTCTCAAAAAGTTTATGCGTGCTTCGCTTTCCTGAAATTCCACAATATCTTTTTATACATCACAAGAACTTATCAATTATATACCGCTAATATTAATTTTTCTTGACGTTTCTGTTCCTCTTCTTTTGCTGTGGCCTCATCACGCCTTACTCGAGCAATGTTGTCCTTTGTTCGAACGTGCCATCTTAATCATAACAACGTGTTATATTGGAAAATAAAAGTTAAATAAAATAATCACCTTTTTTTTGGAAGGATATTCATAGTTCTTTTAAAGTTAACTACTGAATTTACTACGTTATAAATATGCGATTCCAAACGAATTTGTTTTCAATAATTCTTCTTGTAATTAACTGTTCACAATAACTAAATAGCAGCTGATTTTATCACAAAGCCCATTCCTTACAGCAATACCACAGTATACAACTTATTTCTGAGAGATTTTCAATATTTTGTCAATGTGGAATTATGTTCTTGTATAAAAGGAAGACATTATTTGTCTCTACGTAGTATTATTTTTTTTATCATCAATATATACGTATTAAGAACGAAAGCGGCCTTGCCGTTATATAAAGTGCAAATGCATATTAAGATGCTAGCATGATTTTTTCTGTTTGTGTGTATAAAAAAGTTCCGAATTATTGAAAAAATATCATAAATGATAATCGAGAAAAAATATTATTAGCTAGAAGTATATAAGCTCAGTAATCAGAAAATCGGATAGAATATTTATATTGTATGAGAAGTAAATAAACTTGGCAACTTTGAATTAATTTATTTTTCACACGATGACAGTTCCTTGTTCTCGTTTCTCACTCGATGGCGGAAATTAATGAGAAAAGACGACGAAGTGCAGAAAACGAGAAAATATTGTAAAAAAATAATTTTCAATAGGAAAAGTTTCTAAAACTTGTGAAATTGTTGTCAAAATCAAGAGTATCCGCAATCGGGAAACTATATTCGATGAAATTATGGCCGCGGAGCAACGTGTATTAAAACAGGATGGCTATTTGGACGTTGGTAATGTCGAGGAATCGCGTAATATCGCCTACCATCCACACTTGAATGTAATTCTTGTCTTCGACTCCAGTAATCAAGTGAAAATTCTCGATGTACATTCAGGAGTTATTTTACAGACTTATAATTTAGGCGGAAATGGTAAGCATAACATTCGGTGAATTTGTTCACTTAGTTGTGGAGGAAAGTGATTTTGAATTTATGTCTGGAGATATCTAAAGGTGCTGTTGTTAACTGAATAGAAGTAAAAGTAGAGAAGGGCAGGGGCTAAGTATTGCATACGAATAAAAACATGCCGCAGTGTTAGTGCGCAGTTAGAATGGGGAGGGACTTTTCCGTTTTGAAGTCATTTCGACAGCTGCTGCAATAACGATTCATATTAAGTTTTGTTTCTGCTGATCCGTTACCCGTTAGAAGTTCAATAAAATGATTGTTTATAATTACTAATAACGGAATCCTCGTACCTAAAAATATTGGATATATTTAATAAAAAACAGAAAAATAATTATCTTGCAAATAAATATATATATTGTTCATTACTATTTAAAGTTTTTCTAGTTAATTTATTGATAGTAATTTTACATGTAACTGCATATATTTTTTGCAGCCATCGATGGAAACGTACGAGGAAAATACATGCCCCTGCAGGAGAAAATACTCCTTTGGGATGGACAGAATTTGGGTTTTCGTGGTGATTACAATGGTGTTTTGCTATTGGATACAATTCTACAACCACCTATTTTGCAAAATGATGATCTTATCAAATTAGAATTGCTTCTGTCAGAAGCGATAATTTTTCAGACGTGTCTCAAGGATCTCGAACAAGAAGGCTTGGAATGCCCTAGTGACGTCAGTAATGAACTATTGGAAAAAATAAAAAATGCACAAGCAAACGCTAAGAAGGGTATCAAAGCTCAGAGGGTAAGACGAAAAACATACATAGTTTTGATTAGTTTTTATTTAATTAACTTGATTGAAATTTTTTGCAGTGGAACACAATATGTTTGGAAGTATCGTATTCAAGCTTGAAATTGGTGGCAAATAATGTAGTTATTATGTTGAAGCGATTAGAGCGTCACATTCCCGCCTTGGCAATAGCGTCGGCTATAAATGAACGACTAACTGATTTACTTTCCGGATCTCGAATACCGGATTTGAGTTGGCATGGAAGTAACTTTCAGCGTGTGCTAATGCATTCTGAAGCTGTGCGCAGACAAACATTCGAAAAATGGCCACATATGGACTACAAGTGGGCTTTACCCGATCAAATGGCACAAGCCGGCTTCTATCACCAGCCATCATCATCTGGCGAGGATCGAGCCATGTGCTTCACGTGTAGCGTTTGCTTAGTTTGTTGGGAGAAAACCGATGAACCGTGGAGTGAACATGAACGCCATTCTCCAATGTGTCCGTTCGTCAAGGGCGAGTACACACAAAATGTTCCATTATCTGTGACATACGCAACTAATCCAGCTATGTCTGCGCCAGGACTTGGTTTCGATGTCATCTCAAACAGTGATTACGCCAACGTATTATGCACAAGTTGCACGCAGACTGGGGAAATTACTATCTGGAGTATCGAGCGACATCTGAAGAAGATGCATTCATTCAATATTGCTACATTAATGAAGGATATCTGTGATGAAGGGTATAAGTGGGCACGTGTGACCGCAATATGTGTTCTGCCAAATGCTCGTGCGCAATGTAAAATTAACACATTGACCGCAAATCAAACAGGCGGAGGGGGGAATACAGGTTGCGGTGGAGTTGCAGGTGGTAATGTGACCGCCAGTGGCATAGTACAATGTTCCTCCACGTCGACTTTACGCGCAGGTGTAGTTGGCTCAAAAATCGTATTGGGTATGAGCATCCGACAAAACACCGGCGAATATTTACTTCGCATGGTGGTGCTAAATATTGTGGAGAGTGATCGCGTACAGGAAAACACTGGAAATAGTAACACTGGTACTGGATCTGGAAGCGGTAAAGCAAGCATTAATAGCAACGGCAATGCTGGCACAACCCAGAAGTCGCCGTTAATTGAAGGTAAATAAAATAATAATTTAATATATTCACAAAAATAATCATAAATTTCTTACATTAGTCGCTGATAATGGTGGAGGTGGAGGCGATGGCACCAACAGTGAGAAGTTGAGTGACAAATACGATCAGCGTGACGATGATAACAAATCCCTTTCTTCGGATTTTGAAAAATACGCAGATGGCTTTGACAGCAACGGATTTGTATCGGAGTTAATTGCTTTGAAGAAAGGTGATTGTGTGGTGGGCGATAAGGTTGAGAGTCTGAAAGCAGATTATAACGATTTATTGGAGGATGAACTCATGAAAATGGACTTATCACATAGCTATATATTTTCACAATTTTTGGAAAAAAGTCTTGATGGGGGAAGCGGCAATGAAATCGGCGTCGGGGTAGGAGTCGGAAGTGATGTATCATTGAATGCCAATGAAATCCAAATGGACCCCAGCTATTTCAAGAAGAAGCTATTGGCAGCGACATTAGCAGCACAGCAAAATAATACCAATAATAACAATGGACACAAAAGTAATAACAACAACAACAGCAATAGTAGTACAATCGTTCAAAAGCTAACTGTTAGCGAAGATATTGATTGTGTAGTTGAAAGTTGTACAAGTGTGCGAAGAATGAATGCGCTAGTATCGGACAGCGAAGCGTGCAGTAGTGCTGGCGGTGGTGCCGCTAATGGCCGTCGAGAAGTTATCGAAATCGCTGAGATTTTGCCAGTAAATGGCAAATGCAAACAGCTGCTAGTGAAATTAGTAAAAACAAAAGCGCCTAATGAAACGTCAAGTAAGATAATTATGGCAACAGTAGACATGGATTTGGATGATGAACGAATGGAAGGTATACAGGAATTATTTCGAAGTAAATTGATTTGTTGTTTTTATATGTAATTGTTTCAGATCATGCCGATTTCAATTCGGAAGCGGTAGCTGCTCAGCTTCTACTTTTCGATTATGTAGATTCGGCCATTTCAAATGAATATACTTTGGCGGTCACTTTCAGTCGAACAAAGTGTCCTCAACAATTGTGTATTTTACCAAATTTTCAAACATCAGATGATGAACAAAATAGCTTCAACACAGATTCCGGTGCGCTCTGTGTCGTATGTGCTGACGGAAGCATGGAGATTTACTCCCTAACCGACTTTCAACCTGTAACAGTTGTTGAAGAGGAAGGCGAACATTTCGTTTCGGTTGCTTATTGTCGCAGCCTGGATCGCCTGTGTGGCTGCACACGTAGTGGGTCGTTAATATTTTATTCCTTAAACGATGCAGAGAATGAGTCTGGCGACGAAATGCTAGAAATGGAAGAAGATTGCAAAACTGCTTTGGTAACAACGTACCCGCAAAGACCAAGTGAAAATGACTTTCTTAATACGGACGCCGGAAATAGAAATATTGCGTTATCCAAAGTATCCGTGACTGTTCCGGATGGCTTAAGCAGAAACGTGGCGCCAACTGTATCCACATCAACGAGTTCAGTATCAATCGGAGTTGAGCACTTAACGGATGACAATCAATATTTTGGCATTGAATCGTTATTGACCGCCAGCAATATTAAAATAGATTGCAGCGGCCAGGGTTCCAGCAGTAGTTCTGGCTTAAATGGTAGCCTAAATAATAATAGTTTGTCACAATCGTCGCCATCACCCTCAACGTCTTCTATTAATGCGGCCTCCACCTCCAATTTGTTGGCATACAAAACTAGCGAACTTTCGCTAGATGATTTACGAACGCTCTACGAACTCACACAGTTTGACGATGTGCTGGCCTTATATACTGCCGAAGTGCCGAGTTGCTGGAATGATCTAGTGCAGGCGCAGAAACAGCGAAAGCAGCCACAGCATTTACGCCATGGTGACGATACGCAATTCACGAAAACGTGGCGCTTACATAACGATGCGTGAGCTGATCTCTAAAGTTTTTATAAATTGGAAATATATTATATATTTTCTTCTTTAGCACCACTTGGGATGAACATATTATCGAACTTAACCTCGTGCAACCGGTGAATTTAGGGCATATTGATTTGAAGTTCTCACTCTACCAGCAGTGCCATAATCCGGCTGCAATTCAAGTGACATTACTAAAGCAGAATACCAGCGGATTTGGCTATCGCATGAAAGGACCACACCTAAATTATAAGCAATCTGCTATGGATGACAACATTGATTTGACTTTCAATAGTTATGATGGTAAGCGGCATTTAATATATTTTATCACTGACTACTTACTTGTGCCCGCCTTGTTATTAGGCAACAATGAGAATCCTGTTCTGAGTGAAGAATATCTACAAACACATAATGCTGAAATACTTGCTGGTCCAATTGAGTTGTCCTCGTGCATTGATCTTTGCGACCAAGGCGGCACAGTGACACTGACATCACCGAAACTGTTTAAGACGCGCACGCGTAATTTTCTGTTACACATTAAAACCATGTCGGATCCGGCCAAGGAGGGTCAAAGCAAGACGCGAGGCAAGTACATACATACATGTAAAATTTCTTCGATTTTTATAGAGCAAGCAGTTGTATCCTGTAGATTTGTTGTCTAACAATTTCGATTTTTATTTTTTTGTTTTTATATATTTCTTTACTAATTCATGCTTCCATCAAAACATTAACTCATTAAATCAATAACGTGACATGCTCTCACTATCATCCGATGTCATCCCACATTGCTTCACTTGTCCATCTTCCTGCATCACGCCCATCGCTGTAATTCACGCTTGCAAATTCGCACAAACGAATGACAGTGCCTGTACGTAAAGGTGCATTAATGCGTTTACCGTTACCATCATCATTTGCCGGCAGCACAGCACATAACTTTATGACAAATAATACCGCAAGCTCAAATGCATCCGCCAGCAACACCAACACCAGTTCGTTTCCGTCAAGCTCATCAAAGTCACGTTTTGATTTTTACATTGGTATGCAATTATTAGTTCTGTATTAATAAAATGGCATATGCAAAGCTTTATTTGTAACTATTAGTATGCTAGCTCTTCTATTGTAATACTAAATTAAAGTATATATATATATATATATATAAATTTTTCACTTCAACACATTTTTTTTTTTTGCAGGTTGTGATTGGCTGCATGAAATTTCCATCAATGTTCGCGGCGTGAAAAGTCAAAATCGCATTCCCAATGAGCGTTTGCAAAGAATAGCAATGCTCGAAAGTAATATATTGCTTGAGAATCTGTTCAAAATTGCCAGCAATTCGAATTCAGCAACGCTGGAGAAAAATCTGGCTTTGGATATCCTTACGTGGATATGCTTTATACGCTTAAACCGGTTTCGCTCACCAAAATCCGAACGCATTAAAGGGCAAATTAATAAAAATACAGCTTCTACAAACACGGACTTAATGGCTCAACAATTCGAATGTATCTGCCTGTCGGAAAAGTATCTCGAAAATATGTTGCGCAACTGCATTATACACAGCAATCGCACAATGGCACACAAATGTGTCAAACTGATACTTATATTAACTGAGTAAGTTAGCCGATAAACAAATGCAAATGAATATATAGATTATATAATGAACGTTTATACATTTCAGCGGCATATGCAGTCTGCCTGTTGAGGTGCAGTCACATTCCACCCTCGACGTTGCCATAAAGGACGCCGTAGCGAACACATTCAATGAGTTACCGCGCGCCAAGTTCGCCAGCGTTGTGCGTTGGTATGCCATGCTCGCTTGTGCCACTTCGACACTAGAATCACACAATGGTATATCCGAGTTGTGTGTTAAATTGCTGGCAGAAATTGCAAAGGAGATCGATGTGCGTTGGGATCCCTACTGCTCTTTGCTTAGCACAAGGTATAGAAATTATTAAAATATGACAATATTTGTGAACCGTTTATTTATTATATGTTTTTATTTGTTGTTGTTGTTATACTTAAAAAAGATTTGGTCTCTATGGTTTTCCCTTCGAGCCTGAAATATTCGATTACGATTTGCCAAATGTAAATAAAAGTAACGTTGTACTGCCCTCTTCGCTAATGAATATGATTCGTTCGAATGCAGGTCTAATGCAAGCCGCCGGGTTAGATATTAAGAAGCTCTGCTCCATTGGTAAGTGGAACGTTACATACATATATATTGCATTTGTGTCTTAAATTGTGCTAAATGTATTAATATATATATATATATATATAGATGGTGTGGATTTTCGTACGTTTCCGCATTTGATCAAATGCAAGAGTGTTAGTAATCAGCTGCGCGGCTTATTGGAGGTTGAGCAATTACACTACACTTGCGCATCGACGTCGGAGGCAACGCGTATCGATAATATGGACACAGTTTCAGCAAGCAGCGCATCCAATATCAATATGGAGGAATTGATCGTCGCGCCGATGGTCGACATGCCCAAAGAACCGGAAAGCTACAATGTAGGCAAAATGCGCTTGATAACAAATCAAATGTAAAGCAAATTTTTTTTTTTTATCGCTTTTAGGTTAACGATCTGGTATACAATGTGGATAAACATATGAAGATAGTAAACGCTAAGAAAGCTGAAAATGATGTAGTCGCAGAAGTGTTGAAGCCAAACGGAATATGTAGTAAGTTAATAAAAAAAAAAAAAAAAAAAAAAAAAAAAAAAACGTTTGCACCGCAGCTAAAAAGCCCTTCACAAGTGAAAAGGTTTTTCATGCAAGCACTTGATTCCGAGCGTGCAGTTTGTATGACAGCTATATGCTATAGTGTTCCGACCAATGAGCAACTTTTTTTAAGGAGAAAAGAAAGTGTGCCAAATTTTAGATCTATATCTCAGCAACTGAGGGACTAGTTCGTATATATACGACTCAGCTCGTCACGCTGATCATATCTAAGCTTAATATACCCTGTCCAGTATAAAAACAGTGCAGTGCCAAAAGAAAAATACAAAGCTCAAATGATTTATTACAAATTTGCGATTTTCATAGTTTCCATACAAAATTACATTGCATTTATAGTTCCTAATCTCAATTGTAAAGGCAAAAGCTTTGTTTTCGTATCCTGAGCTACTGTCTAAAACATCAACGGACTACTATTTTAATATTATTTATTTCCCACCAGTAGATTTCAATCCAGCCAACAGCATCGATGACAAAATCAAAAAGTGTATGCCGCTTTTGCCAAAATTCAAAGCCATTTGCAAGTACATTGAGTATTGCGATGAGAATTTGCAAGCCACTTCAGCTGGTATTAACAACAGCAACTATGCCAATAACGATACAATGCTCTCAAATCCAAGTCTTCTAGCCAATTCAGATCCGAAAATTAACGAAGCCAGCGCTAAGGCTATAACAATGGCTACACAAATCATCTACGAAGCTACGCAACAAGAAGAACAATTACAACAACAGCTACAACATCTTAACAACACAGAATATACATCGCCACAAACGCCAGCTGTGGCCGAACAGCAACAACCGAAAAAGCAATCGCAGCAAGCACAGCACAAAGATAAAACTTCAACAACTAATGCCGAAGCTCCGGCCATTGGCAGTGACAACTCGAATGCCAATGCAACAAATGTCTTTGCTTGGCATAAGCTGCTGGCGCCACCGCCAAAACAAATGGTCGTTATTGATCGTATGCATTCCGGCGCACGTCGTTTTGTAGTCTTAGACTTCGGCTCACCCATTTTACTGACCGATTTGGTTATACCCGCATGCGACGAACTGGCATCACTGCACATTGACATCTGGTGCTTTGATGAGGAGGCCGACAGCGTGCGCTTAGTGGTCGCCTCTGACATCAGCACGAAAACCTTGGTTCTGAGCGATCTTCAACCACCACCGATTTGTCGCTACATGAAAATCACCATAATCGGACGCATCGGTATGTCGGCTACGAAATGCAAAATTCCAATTGGTTCGTTTTATGGACACGCTGTTGTCTTGGAACACGACGGCTACGGCGATTCGCTGCTACGTTTCATGAAGCAACCCGCACAAAATATACAGGCACAGATAAAGGCGTTGACGTCGCTGTACGAGGATGTGCATTGTCGTTATAGTTTGGCTAGTTGTAAGTTAATCGAGCTGTTGACACCCATTCTCAACTGCGAGATGTCAAATGTGGCGCATATGCAAGCGTTCATTCACAAGCAACGCGAAGAGGACGCTAATACGGTGGACAATAGTAAAGTAGTCACCATATATGAGGTGAGTTTCTAACATTTGAATCATGCAATGCATGGTTTTTTGTACGATTTTCTTCTATTTCGCTGGTGCATTTATTTTCGTTGCGCTTTCTAGGAATGCATTCTATTGCAACATCAAATTAATATTATACGCAATGTTATTGGACGTTTGGAGAATTCGCTGCATCCAGTGCCATTCGGTGCTGTTACGGCTCAAGTTGCTGCCGGCTCATTGGAGAATACGAATTTAAGAAATGTTTTGCAGTTGGCATCACGTGACAAACTGCGTGTTTTGGGGCAAAGTTTAGTGGAGATTTTGCTGCATTTTTCCATAGAATATGGCATAAAGGTACAAATGTTTAATATTTTTCAATCTCAAAATAATATGCAATTTTACTAATCATATAATTTTTACTCGCAGAATATTTTGCCAGTTCACCAGCTATTCACAATGGATGTGGCAAATATGCTGTTCAATTCGTTGGTGGTTTACGGCGATGCACACATCCAATTGGCCACATGCTCGCTGCTGGTACGCATGTGCTGCTTCCAGAGTTGGTGGGGCGATTTCTTGGCGGACATCTTCTGCAATTTGTTTTCTTCGCAGAACAGTAAAATCTTTCCACAAGACCGGTAAACAATATCAGCATTAGATAATGTATTAGTGTTGTACAACAATAATTTTTTGTTGCAGCATTTTCTTCTTACTGACCTATTTGGGAAGACGTAGCATCGCAATGGGCACTTGCCGTTCAATAGTTATCGACGCAGTATTGAAGACATTGGCAAAGCTTTTGGCACCCATTTCGCCTAGATATCAAGAAAGCCAAGCGACGGCCACACGTATTGATGACACAGATGACAGCGGTGGTGCCAGCTCTGGCGGCTTGTGGTCGAAATCGGATCTGCAGCTAATCACGTGGCTATTGTTATTTTTATCGGTGTGCTTGGATGATAGCAACGAACGCAAAGATAAATGTATGTATCAATAATATTATAAATTTGATTAACACTATAATTGGTTGTGCTTTATGCCAATTAGCATCGAGTCGCTGGGATTTCATGAGCTGTGAAACCGATTTCACCAAGACTCGCTCACAAACCACAAATACAACCGGCAAACAGTTGCGTTGCTTCAAGAAACGCATTGTGCAACAAAACAAATACAGCGTGCAGCCTTATACGGATTGGGGCAAAAAGATTTTCATGATTCAGAATGAGGTAATTGAAATGTTTTCTACATAAAGCAAGTACATATAACACATGCTTCATCATTTATACACAGCATCCAGGCATTTTCATGGAAATGACAGGCAAACCGAAACCGAACAAAACCAACAAGGCAAATATAACGCCAAAGCCCACCAAGGAAGCCAATCAGGAACCTGAAAACAACTTCGACAAGGGGCTAAAGACCATACGTTTAAATAACATATTGATTGTGATTCGTGGTTTGATCGCATTATTGCTGGAAATGGATTTTACCTGTAATATGGATCAATTTCTCCTAACATGCAAGGTATGTTAGCTCTGCGTTGTTCGATTGTGTATGATTCTTCCATTGATTATTGTAATGTGCTTTTATGTCGGCAGGTCATTGCGCGGCTCGTGTCTGCATGCCGTCCAGCCGTACAATTGTCAAAAATAATTACAACTACGCAATTGGAGCAACTCATTCGGCAAGCGGTGTGGAATGATCAGCAACAGCCTTGGGCTGTGCATGCAATCACCTGTTTACTACAGGTAAATACATATAATTTGTGCTTGCCATTTATTTGTTTATTTGCATGCTTTCCTGTTTTGTTGTAGGATCTACTTGATGCCGATAAGCAATTCAAAGACAATGACAATGTGGTTGTCAATGCGGAGGGTGTGCGACCGATGGAGGGTGTCCAGGAAACAAAAGATTTATTCTCCGACTATTGTAAGTAATACAACTTAGATTATATAAGATTTTTTATATTAAATTTACAAATATATTTATTGTGTATTTTTTCAGCACATTACTTGTCACAGGCTGTAAATTCGCAACTGCAATCCGTTGGCAATGATATACAGTATTCTGATGGTATGTATCTGTCTAAAGCGTAATGCATAATTTTAAATTTTATTTCATGATATTGTTTGCAATTAGGCGTAAAATATTCCTACCTGCCCTCGTTAATCGAATGCGAAGACACCGAATTGGATGACATACTGAACGACATTGATATTATCGAACGTTCGAAAACGGTGACCAAGAAGGACAGCAACGCCATTAATAAGAACACGTTCAACTATTTCTGCAAGTCAATATCCAGCGCCATGGACGCACGCTTGGACGTTGGTCTTGACATTAATGTGGAAATTCAGCTGCGCCGCCTGACAATGGTCTCCTCTTTGGATATGTACTCGTCTTTGCCGCAAATATTGGCCAATGAATTTATTACGACGCCACCGGAGGCGACCGTTTGGCCAGAGTATATTACGGACATCTGGTCTAGTCCGGAGTATAGTTGCGGTGAAAACACTTATAAGATGTTTAAAAATGTTTTTGATTGCATTTTTGCACACTTACATTTGCAAGTGAGTAGCTTTTATATTTACATTCTTTAAAGTTTCATTTAAGCGCACATTTTTGTTTTTTTGTGTTTTGCGTAGGATACATGGGTACACCTGGAACAGGTGTTGCAAATGTGGCTGACTTTAAATGGTGAATTGTCGGACAAACCCTACAATTCTGGCATCACTCAGAGCGACATACCGAAGATACCGTTTGGCGCGCATGCCGTGCAAGGGCTATTGCTCGCGTTGGCATGGCATAACGACATTAAACTTCGCACTTGGTGTCTGGGTTTCCAGTGCTTGTTTTTGGCGTGTAATTCGCAAGCGCTGGGCGATGACGACATCGATTCGACACGAATCAATGAAGTGATCGTTAACGATGAGAATTTCGAGAAGATGCTTTTACGTTTCTTCTCCGGTTATGGCATGAGTTCGTCAATCATTACAAATCGTTGTGTAAGTCTACACTTTGTAGCGTGAAATGCGAGTTATTTTTTTTTTGTAATTTGTTGTCCCGTTTTATAGGCCGGTCCTACAATTTGCAAGAATCTGCATGAGTTGTTGATGTGGCTACACAAGAAGAGCGAAAGCAGTGCGCTTACTGTTGTTTCGAACCGTCGTAAGCTGAAAGACACTTTATTGCATGTAATATTGCAGCTGGTGCAGCCAGGCGGCGCAATCGCTAATCAGCAGGGTCCAATCGATGCCCAAAGCCAGTTGGTGCGAGACTTGCTCTTAATACCAACTGACAAACCCGATTTGAATGTGGCGCTAAACATTATCGAAAGTGTTTGTAAGTTTAGTTGGCTCGAGAAGACGCTTTAAGACGCTTTGATATTTTACTATTTCTTTTCTATATTCATTCTACAGCATTTTTGGTATATAACAATATATCTAACGGCGATAAGCTACAATGTCAACGCTCAACTGATTGCAATAATGCCACGAGTACTTTTAGCAACCTCTTCGCCAATGTGCTGGGCTCAGAGAGCACCAAACAGAATACTACGCTCTCAGATAACTCGCTCATAATTAGTTTACTGAAACTGTCGTCATCGCTGGCGGAGACCGAACTGCCGAGGCAGCCTAGTGTAAGTCAAAATCAATATACCATCTGATCAAAATTGACCCGGACTGACAAAAAAAAACACCATATTCTTCAAAATATCTCTTATTATAAACCACGGCTGATATGGCCGTTCAGTGAATGACTTTTAATGGACGCCGTAGCAAATTTTTAAGCTTCGGAGACAAGAAAAAGTAACAAAGACTGGCTAAACTAAGCAATGACTTTTGTTTAGTGTTTGGTAAAAAAGTCAGTCACAATCATGTTAAATAAGATTGTTTACGAAAAATTACTTCTAGTAGACGACCTAAAACGTCCAAGTAGTATTTCTTATTGACGGTTTGATCTTGTAGTACAAATTCATGGTGAACTACACCACGGTAATGTTGTTGTTGTAGCGGCAGAATTCTGCCGAGTTGACAGTCCTTGGCCGGAATAAACTCGGGTCCGTTCCGGTTACGTAGACCCGACTGTCGTGGGAACGGACACCACGGTAATCAAACCCACTGGTCAGCATCACCTTGTTTTCGAACGATTTTGAGTGGTTTTTGCGGTTTCAGCTCATTTTTGGAGCGCCATTCGCTAGATTTTCGGACAGCTTCGACGATATATTCATAAACCCACGTCTCGTCACCAAAAATTAGATGTTTGATGAATGTCTTTAGGGTCTTCAGCGACGTTGTCAAGCATCTGTTTTGATAACTCTACAGGTTGTCATTTTTGAAAAAGACTTGATACGAGTCTAGCATTGACACGCTTCGTATTCGAAACATTAGCCAAAGTGTGTTGAGTCATTCGATAAGAGATGTTGAGATATTCTGCTATCTTCCTGTCAAGTTTTCGACCTCACGACCTTCATCAATAAAAAAAAATTTCAAAACAATCCTACGTGATTTCAACGATTCCGTAGCCGTGATTCTATCGCAAGACAAAATTTCACGTAAACTTTAAAAGCGGTTAAATTTGTTTTTCCATGGTAAAAATCTCCAAACTTTTCGCGTCATAAACAAACAGCTGCCAAACACACACTTATTGACATATGGAGATCAAACTTCACATGAAAGATTGTTTTTTGTTTTATCGATTCGGGTTGTCCGAGTCATATTTGATCATATGGTATTTTTCGGAAAGTACTTTTTTATTTGTTTTAATTATTACAATATTGTTTCATTATTTAGGAGGTGCCTATACCAGAAGAGGAAGAATTGTCAAGTGAAAGCCAAACTGATGAAACCAAGGCAGAGCAATTAAATATAGAAGGCCACCGACCGAAGACGCCTTGTATAGCCGATACAGGTGCGAATCACAATACTTAAATACATATAAATTATTTTGTAACTTATAAATTTGTCTGTATTCCCAACAGTACTGCGACACTTCCCCACAATGAAACGTTTATTGGGTTCACTGTCACATTGCTCCAGCTCATCGTTCACCATAGTGGCTTCGTCCTCTAACTTTTTGCTAGATGAGCCACAAAGCACCGCCGATGCCGTTTTCAATTTACTCATTACACTATATGACAAAGCATCGAATCCACGTCTCATTGTGGCATCGATTTGCCAATATTTAGAAACCAGTAAGTAGCGAACTCTTTGTGACAATATCTGCAATATAAAATCTTTCTCTCGCTTTTTATTTACAGGCACAATACAGCGCAACGCTTTGCCGCGTTTGCAGTTGTCGGAGCCATTTTTGTGGTATATTTCAAAAGTGCTGGAAGTTTCTGTGGCTGTGCAAATATTCACGCAGTTGGGCGGCATCAAAATCATTTGCCAAAATTTGGTGCGACTGAATAAGATTCTAATAAACATGCAGCCGGGATTGGTATGCGCGCCACAACTACTAATTGTCCAAATAATTTGTTTAACATTAAATTTTTTTTTTCAGATTTCGCTGATCATGCAACATATGACTAAAAACACTAAACTCAAATTGCATTCCCATGCGTGCGTTAATGGCAACGGAAAGAAGACATCTTCCTCGTCCAGCTCTGCACAGAGTCAGCGCCATTTCCAGGATGGCCTTATAAATTTCGCGCCATTTTGTACCATATCCGCCGAGCATGACACCACACACTCAGCAGACATTTTAATAATGAATCCGGTGGCATCGCATAGGCGTCCTCGCACACCTGCTTGGAGTTATATGTTTTATCCAAATGAATCGCACGTCGATTTGACAATTACACTGCCAACAGCTATACTGTTGAAGGAGGTACAATTGCAGCCACACGCCCCAACATTGGCATCGTGTCCGTTCGCGGTTGCTTTGGAAATATCACGTGATTATGGTTTGGGCCCAATACCAGTGGGTCCACCGCTTACGACCACAGGTATGACTTGCATACGTTTGAAGTTGGCTAAGCCGGAAATCGCTACCAGTGTCGTACTACGCTTGTATAGGTGTGTCAGCGTATTTATTTCTAGTCATGTTTTTTTTAGTTCTAATACCACTTTTCTTTTGTCTACTGCAGACCGAAAGACAGCTCCAACATTGGTCTCTCACAAATTGCCATTTTGGGCAATACAATATTTGCATTCAATTCCAATTCGTTGGGCAGCGGTGCAAGTGGCAGTAATGGTGTTGGTGTCGGTGTAGCCGGTAGTGGTGTCTTCAATTTCGATCAAAACAACGATGAGGACACATTCGCTAAGACAAGCGTTGGCTGGATGCGCATACTGGCGCGCTGTTTCAAAGCGCCTGCACTTATCTACGATGAAAAGTTGGCTGCCGATGTGATCGGTGCTTCGGCCGCCTACCCAGGTTTCCTGGAGGCCTGCTGCTCACTAATGAACATTATGCCAATGATACCAAACGCCGCATTAGAAAATCTGCACACTGTTTTATTGAAGCTGGGTGCCTACAATCGTAACTTGTGCCTGTCCATAATTCGCATATTGCTCTGGGGTACAGCACCGCAAAGTAAGATGTACAGCTATTTTTGTTTTTTCTCGTAGTAACTTGTATTTTTCGCTTTCTGTTTGTATTTCAGCATACAAGCTTTCAAATGAGAGCATTTGCAATCTACTTTATGAGTTGGCCACAACCAGAGATGATTATATGGTGGACAAGATACAGGTGCTACTCGAGTGGATCGTAAAGCTGCGCCAAAACTTCAGTAATCGCACATTGCGTTGTAATAATCCACAAAGCGGCTTTGTTAAGTGCGTAGCTTCGATACTGTGGTCAGTGCATGCGGAGAACCATGTGCCGAATTTACAAGAACTCATCACCAACGATCTCTTTGACGCCTGTATGCACTGGATAGACACGTTGGAGAATGAAGAGCCGCTCAAAGTGGCTTTTGACTCTTTGTTATGCTCGCTGTGTTGCATCAAGCCGGAGCTATTCAATCAGCTGATCACCAAACTGAATGTGAAGGTGCAGCAAACAAATGCAATGGATAGCAGCAGCGGTTCAAGTACAAGTGTGGCGGCGGCGGGCGCACAAGCAATCGCGCCCGATAGTGGCATAAGAGGCGGTTTGACCGATGATAACAAAGGTCAAAGCGGCAGTGCATGGTTCGCCAGCGTTGCTGCAGCCAATCTAACAACATTATTACAACGGCCGGTCTACTTGGGCACATTAGCAATGGCCTGTCAATCGCCATCTGCCGTTTATCAGTTGGTGGACTCAGGTTTGCCAAAGTTATTGGCCTACGCTTTGTATGAATATTGCAGCGCTTTGTTGCCGGAGGTGAAAAGATCTCCGCCGCAAATGTTGGCGAGCACCTCAGCGACAGTCGCCACAAATAGCAGCGCTTCAACATCGAGTTCGTCGACAACCACACAATTATCGAGCACCTCAAACGCCTGCCTAACAGATGCTGATAAAGCAGAATGCGTAGATGAGAGCAATATAGCCATGAATGAGGTAGTTGTGCCGCTACTTAACTGTGCACATGTACCGAAGGTGTTGGACTTCTTCTCCGAATGCTGTGCCGAGGGTCATATGCGTGACTGGCTTGGCACGCAGCAAGGTGTCATCTTCTGGAAACCGTTGCTGGAGCTGCTATGCAATTATCGACCCATGGAGTACGCCGGTGAGGAACCGATGCAACAGGCATTCATACGCATGGAACGTGCCACCATCAACTTTTTTTCGCGCGTTAGCGCTTGTCATCCGAAAAATCAAGATACTCTTACCACTTTACTGATTGCCGTAATACGTAGGCCAATGCTGGGATCGCTGGGTGGCAAGACCACCATATCTGGTTTTACGCGACAAATCGTTTTGCAATTGCTGCTGGAGAATGAACGAATACTGGTGTCGGTTCGCAGTAAACAACCGTTGCAGAAGCGCGATTCCTCGACACTGTCTGTGGCGGCGACAGCAACTAGCGCTGCCAATAGTAGCGTGTCAATGTCCTTGGTTAATCATCATCCATCTAAGCGCGTCAATGCGCACCATCTTCTCTTTGGTGTCAGTGCGAACACAAAGTGTCAGGAGATACTACAAAATTGTGTTTCTGGTAAGTTGCACGCGATGCTTAATTCGAATTCCATCAATAACATATTCATAAGCTTTTATTTTGCATAGCCAATTAGGAAAACTATTACGCGCTAGTTTGTACTTTAGATTTGGAGATTGCTTACAGACACAATTCAATTCGTTCGTTAGTTTTGTCGCTGAGTCAAAAGAAGCCGGAATTTGTTTCTTCCGTCATTGCATAACCGCAGCGTCTTTGAATACTCTGGATTTGCTAGATATTAGAAATCTTATGATCCATATTTATACGCTTTGAAAAGTGTATATTAATAAGTTTGCCACGAAGTGTGTAACATCCAGAAGGAAATCCTTTAAAGTATATATATAAATGATCAGCGTGACGAGCTGCGCCGATTTAGCCATGTCCGTCTGTCTGTATATGCGCAAACTACTCTCACAGTTTTTGAGATATCGCTTTGAAATGTTGCCCAGGCCCTTTTCTCAGTAAGAAAAAGCTCATTTGTCGGAATCACCGATATCGGATCATTATAGCATATAACTGCCATACAAACTGACATCCACAGCAAATTCTTCTACGGAATTTTTTATTTGATAAGCAAACTTCCCGGAATTTGGCATAGCTTATTGAATCAGAACAAATTTCTATTTTCGTATTCACTGATTAACTTACATGCGGTCGTTTTTTTTTCTCTATGCTAGTGTAATTGTAATAAAACATAAGTTAGTTGACTCACAATTTGTTTTCTCATTGTTGCTGTAACTCATACATATTTTTTTTTCATTTTTTTATTTTCGTGTTTTGCTTTTATTTGTTGCATTTTATGTTTTTGTTACCCACACTTCGCACCATTGACATGTTTGCGTGTTGTAGTCTACAGTATTCTATTTTCCTCAATGCAAGCAGAAACGCGTCCAGGAGAGAACAACGCGCCAATGAGTGGCACCATAAATTTGACAACCACCAACAATGGCGAGCTGGGTGTTAAGCAAGATAATGAGAAGTCGAAAAACGATGTGTATGATAGCATTCCGTTTAATTTCAATGGTTTGGAGAATGGCATGGAGTTCTTGAGCGTGGCAGCCGGGGTCACAGCGAAGGACAAACGCATTAAAGATGTGAAAAATCAGGTGGCAGCAAGCAAGGAAAACAAAGACCTTTTTCCGAATTTCCCAAGTAATTTTTATAAAAAAAAATTAAATCGTTTTACAACTTCGTGTTTTAACACTTTTAATATTTGCAGAATTCTTCAGTATTGAAGACTTTTTGACGCCTGGCTCCATTATTGCGAATTGCTCGCAACTCGTGCATTCAGATTGTCCGGAAATTGTGATTACCAGTGATACCACTATATCGCAAATACTTGCCGCCTTACATAGCAAAGGCCATTCGTTGTCAACCCCTTGCATCACACTGAATCTGGTATGCTGTTTTATGACGACATTTTTATGTTTGATATTTATTTCATATTTTCTATATTTTAGATACCTTCCAAGCCAGTCGAAATCAAGGAGGACTCTGTGCTTAAGGCGTCTGACATTGAGCCGCTGCCATCGCCATTGCAACGTTTCTCCAGTCGCGGCGGTTTGTCGCTGCTCGCCCAGTATTTGCCCACAGTATATCCGGACAGTGCCGGACGCAAAACGCCTACCACATTGCCGGAGAAGGAGAAGAGCCCACCTATGACTGATTGGGTCAAACTCGAGCCAAATGATGAAATATACGAAGATCTGGAGGATCCAATTACCGAACCCACATCCAAACACACCACAATCACATCGGTGCCGCAACATTCACTTGCAGCGTTTGGCCTCTTTTTGCGCTTGCCACCTTACTCGGATGTGCTGCTGCGCGATAAGGTGCGTGCTCAATGTCTATTGCGACTGGTGCTCGGAGTTACTGGCGACGGCGAAGGAAGTAAGTGAACGTCGTCAACGAAACAAGGCTATGGCATAAAGAAAGTTCAAAATCTACATTTTTAACTTTTTTTTTTGTTTCAGATGATATTTACAGCTTATCTGTGGCTCCCTCGCTTCCAACATTACCGTTTGAGGTATTCCGCCAATTGCTGGACAACTCACCCCTGACTACAGACGATGGTATGCTACTACGGCGTATGGTCATCGAAGTGGGCGCAATGCATTTAGTTTTGAATTGTCTGGGTGTATTTACCCATCAATCGCAAAATTATCAAATCGTCAGCCCACAAAATGAGGTAAAATCAGCTGAGTGCTGTTGAATATAAATATGTTCTATCTAATGAAATTGATTCTTGTCCAAAACCAGTCTTCTACCAGCGGCATTCGGACATCGTCAAGTAATAATGTCGACGACTCTTTGGGTACATCTGATGACAAGGGGCATATGTACTGGGCCAAGGGTACTGGATTTGGTACGGGCTCAACGACACAGTCATGGAATGTGGAACAGGCCTTGTTGCGGCAAAAGAGCGAAGAGGAGCACGTAACAGTTTTACTGCAAGTACGTATAAATAAGCATGCACACAACAACAATTGGAATATTGTTTGTTATTTCCGATTTCCCCCAGGTACTCTCGAGTTATATAAATCCCGGCGACAAAATCCCCGCCGCTTTACAATCGGACGAAATCATGTCGTATCATGAAATTACTGAAGTAGCCGGTGAATTGCCATCCTTATTTTTGGTGTTACTTCAACAGTCGTGTCTCATTCCGGCATTAAGTTCCTACTTGCGAAATGATTCCGTACTGGATATAACCAGACACATTCCTCTATATCGCGCCATCTTGCAATTGCTGAGAGCACTATCGCTCTCTCCAGAATTAGTTTCACTGCTGCAGCCGTCGCCGAATAAAAGCGAAAGCTCGCCTGCGATTGTTGAGCTGCTCTTAAATATGAAGACATGTGTCGATACATACGCAAAACGTTTAAAGTAAATATTCCTCTATAATTTAACGCTAATACTCAGTAACCTATATATATGTTATATATTATAACAATTTCGCTTGTGTGTTTGTAGGGTTAATAAGAAGTCCAATATAAAGGGCCAAACGCAACAGGTGACCGTCAACATTGATGACGGTGACGACGAGGGGCTTGCTTTACTTATACCCGACATCCAAGAGACGACCGTGCTGGTGCAAAAGACAACCAATGCAGATGCGCTCGCCAATCAGCAGCGCTTGGATCGTGAGGCTGGCGGAAGTGGTAGTGGTAATATTGAACGCGTGCCGCAGAGTAAGTCAATTGAGCAGTGCTATTTGGAGGTAATGAAGAAGCTGCAATTCGACACTGCGGAGATGATTGTGGAGGCAGAGAATAACGGCTTTCGTTTTGTCATTTCGCATCATTTTGAGAAGATGGTGCGCATGGCGGGTGATCGTTATCATCCGTCGCGTGTGAAGCGTTTAGCGCAAGAGGCGGTGACGCTTTCGACCAGCTTACCGTTGTCGTACAGTAGCTCCGTCTTTGTACGCTGTGATACCGATAGACTGGATATTATGAAAGTGAGTATAATTTAATATTTATAAATTAAGATGAGTGTGCTGCGATACCAAAAACCACTTTTTTGTACTTTGAATTTAATTTCCAAATAAAACAAATATATTATATTGAATTTTCTTTTTGCTACAGGTATTGATTACGGGGCCCGCAGACACGCCATATGCGAATGGTTGTTTTGAATTTGACGTCTTCTTCCCGCCCGATTACCCCAACCTTCCGATGATGATCAATTTGGAAACAACGGGCCGGCATTCGGTGCGCTTCAATCCCAATTTATATAATGACGGCAAGGTTTGTTTATCCGTGCTCAACACCTGGCACGGTCGACCTGAAGAGAAGTGGAATGCGCAAACGTCTAGTTTCCTGCAAGTTCTGGTATCCATTCAATCGTTAATTTTAGTCCCGGAGCCGTATTTCAATGAGCCTGGCTTTGAGCGTAGCCGCGGTACGCCTAGTGGCACACATTCTTCACGCGAATACAACAGCAACATCTACCAAGCGTGCGTACGATGGGCGATGCTGGAACAAATACGTAATCCCAGTCCTTGCTTCAAAGATGTAAATAAAATTTTTTCTCACTTATTTTTACTTGGTCTTAAATGTATGCCAATATCTGTCTTGTTACAGGTGATTCATACCCACTTTTGGCTCAAACGCAATGAAATATGCGCGCAAATTGAAAATTGGATTGAGGAGCTAAGCAAACCGCAGTACAGTGAACGCAACAGTCGGACCATATCATTTAATTCGATGGTCTTACGTCGTCAGTATCGTCATTTGCGCGAAGAGCTCGCAAAGCTTAAAGTGCCAGAGGGCTTGGAAGATCTTGACACACCATTCAATCCGAATGTCAATCTGCCGGCAATGACTGAAACCACCAGCGCTGCAAATGCCACCAACACCAAGGCAACGACCATTACAGCGGCGAACACTGCGTCCACGACAACTGCCCCTGCGATCGGTACTAAATCGGGTAGTAACGGCAATGGCGATAACAGCCGTCATGAGAGTGAAGACAAGAACGTAAATGCGATTAGTGGCAGTGATAGCCCCACCACACCGACTCCCGCTAGCAGTAGTGACAGCAATAGTAGCAATACAGTTGTTATAGAACTGCCGGCAAGAACAAATACTTCGGTGGTCAACGCTGAATGGCAAAGTATTTCAAGCCAAACCGCGGAGGGCATATCGCCATCTGCATCGACTACAACTATGGGCCTGACAACGTTATTGTGTCAGAGTATGCCGGTTGAGGTTAGCAATGATTTTGATAGTATGAACGATGCGACAATGGTGATGCCACTACAGCCGCCAGTTCCAGTTCCGGTAACTGCCAAGGTGAGTACCGTTGAGGCGGCAACAACACCAAGTGCTGAGGATGACGATGCCGATGAGGATATTCAGATCGATGCCAGCGAGTACAACTACAATGCCGATCTGGTTCAATCGCTTTTTTACGCCGACGATTCACAATTTGAGAATTCCAATTTGGGCGATTTCATGGAATAGACTTGATAAATATATATGACGGTAGTCAGTTGATGGATGGTTCGTACTTGTAGTTGTGGCAGCGACGCCTCTTGTATGTGCTTTATTTCAAATCAATTTTAAGTATGTGTGTGTGTTATCCAATTAATTCTACTATTATTAATTTTATTAAATCATTTTTATAAAATCTAATAAAACAGAAATCTTTTGTTTATATACAATTGTACGATTTTATCAATTTGTTGCAAACAAATGAATTGTGTCTTTTACTTTAAATAAACTGTATTCAAATCTAATTGGAACGCAACCAACCAATGCTTACATATATTTTATTGTTAAAGGCATAAATCTCCGACTGCTCAACTCGCTCTACTTGTCGAGACTTTCTTCACGTTCAAACTTTTGCCTAGGAGCCTCACAAACAAGTTCTCCGAGCTTCTGCCGAGCCATTATCGATGTGTGTGACCTGGTGTTATCCTGATGGTTTCCTGAGAGACGTCCTTGACATTAAAATTACCGGAATGGAATCGACGAAGTCAAATTTGCGGCTGCAGTATCAGGACCATAAACACTATTCACATTTTCAGCCGCCTGCCTTGCGTCTTCACCTTTATTGAAGAAAAACTGTACAATATGGCGTATTTTCTTTTTGCTATTGTCGATCTCTGATGCATGCTCTAACTATACTAAGCAAAGTAATCACAAAAAAGTTCGATTTTTTTTAGTGCGAAATCTTAATTGTATGATTCTAACGTCATATTGCGTAACCCGATCGCACTTATACAACGCAACAGATCAGATACAGATCCCTAAAGTCTATCTACTGGAAAAATAATGCTTTCTGTAGTATAGTTACATATATTACAGGGAATCTTTTATCCCTAGTTTTGATGTAGAGAGCAAATCTTTTCGACAAGAATGCCGATTAATTTATTGTATGAAATATATAGTTTTTGTGAAGTCATCTGAAGTTATACGGAATAACGTTAAGTTAATTTTATTAAGACATCTAGCGTATTATCAGTGAAAGTTTTCAATGAAAAGTTCTTCTGTGCTGTCAGTTGGACCAGGTAGGTTTGATTTCTTTGAAATATCTGACTGATACCGTATTGTCGTATTGTCTATTTTGCTTTACGCTAATTAGCATACGTTTAGTGTTTGGTATATGTTTCGTAAAACTATATGTAAGTAGTTTGAAAAACCATATTTGATGAGATACAGTACATCATCAAAACTGACACGGACTGGTCCATATAAACTGCGCGCGCAAACTGAATCAATACAACTTTTTTCATGTTCATGAGAAGTTTGCTCTCCCTATATCAATAAGTGTGTGTTTGGCAGCGGTGCGCTTCCCATGCGAAAGTTTCGTCCAGCGATTTTCGCCATGTAAAATATTTACGAACGAGTTTGCTTGAAATTTTGTGTTTCCAATGGAATTACGACTATTTTTGAAAATGTCGATGAAGTATTTTGAGGAATCTACTTTATCACGAGCACAAGCAGTTGAGTGACACAAAGCCTTCAGTGAAAGTCGTTAAGTAATCGAAAACTTGTCGTATACGAGTCGTCTGTCCACCTCTGTTGATGACGATAGAATCGAAAAAGTTAAAGAAACAGTGATTGAAAATCGTCATATTGGCAGCAGATGATCTCAACATCTCTTATGTATCTCTATCGTGTCAAAGCTTGACTCGTTCCAAAAGTCCTGAATCTGTATAATAATTTAATTTATAAACAACGACAAATAGAGATCGCCAAAGAGATGCTTGACAACGTAGCTGAGAATCCGACATTTATCAAACGTATCATTATTGGTGGCAAAACGTTGTTTTATGAATATTACATCGAAACTGTTAAACAATCTAACGAACGGCGCTCCGAAAATGAGCCGAAACCGAAAAAAATTTAATTCGCTGAAGGCATTGAAGGCCAACTCAGCCGAGGCTTAGTATGGCAAATGTATGGAAATTTATCATTGGCATGCTTGTATTGGCTCAGGAGCCAATATGTTTGTATAAATATATGTGAAAATGGAGTTTTTTGTCAGTCCATGTCAAATTTGATAAGATGTTATTATAAGTTGTTATATATAACAAAGAATCCAAATACACTACACAGAAATTGTGCGTTGTCCGAGATAAACTAAATAACAATAAACGCTAGTAAATAACCGCCAATCTTTAGGACACGTTAGAGTTTATTCAAATAATAACATGCTTGTGTTTTCGCTTCGTTTATGTTCAAATTATTGTACATACCCAGATAACTATCATGGTGTGATATTATCTTTAAGATCTTTACGACACTTATCTGGGTTGGGATTATTTTAGTAGTCTGTTATTTTTTATTGACAACCGAAGTATCCAACGTTCTTATAAAAAATTGGTGAATAAAGTAATAAAAGATTGCCTTCAACTTATCTTATCTCTCCTTCTTCAGCTATTAACTACATCAAGTTTTTGACATTATAGCGTTTCAGTTTATGCGTAATACATGCACTATACTGTTATTAGCCTAGTGCCGCTACATATTTTCCGGTATAAGTTGAAAGGTTCGTAAAACTTATTCTCAACAAACTTTTTTTTTATAAATGTTCACACAGACGTGCTATCGGCTACAGATAGATTTCTGCCGATATGATAATTTTTATATCCTGAACAAGGTATATTAAATTTGCCACGAAGTTTGTAACACCTTGAAGGAAACGTCAGAGGACCTATAAAATATATATACATGTATACATCAATGATCAGCGTAACGAGCTAACACTCTCTATCTGTATATGCGATAAATAGTATCTCAGTTTTTGAGATCTCAATCTGAAATTTGTCGAAATCGCTGAATGAGCAAAATTCCCCTTAAATGGACAATTTTTTGTTTGGCAATAATCTTCACGAAATTTGGCACGAATTATTGTGCAAGACAACGGCACAATCTCTGAACAATTTGTTCAGATCGATCAAGCTCAAGTACTTGTTTTGTTTAAAAAACTTTTTTATTGGAAAATGAGTTTCACAAAATGTTACACCTTTGAAGGGAATTATAGTTAGGTGCAGCCGAAGTTAACGTTTTTTAGACCCTGGAGAGGGTATATTAAGTTTATAAAACTAAGAAGGAAACGTCGGAGACCCCATAAAATATATATGTACATAAATGATCAGCATGATGAGCTGAGTTGATTTAGCCATGTCCGTCTGTCTGTTTATATACAAACTAGTCCCTCAGTTTTTAAGCTTTTCTTATTATTTAAGCTATAAGAAGCTGATCATTTGTCGGAACGGCCGATATCGGACCACTATAGCATATAGCTGGCATACCAACTGAACAATCGGAATCAAGTACTTGTATGGAAAACTTTTTTATTTGACGAGGTATCTTCACGAAATTTGGCACGAGTTGTTGTTTAAGGCAACATTGTACTATCCGTAGAAATTGTTCAGATCACAACACTATATCATAAAGCTGCTATACAAATTCAACGATCGGAATCAAGTTCTTGTAAGGCGCCTTTGTATTTGTGAAGGGTATTATAGGGTTTTTTTTTCTTTTCTTGTTTTTTGTTTCCAATGCCATCGTCCTCTGGCTGGCAATATGAATAGTGATATATTTTTAAATTTTATTAGACGTTCGAAGTCGACTTACACTTGTGGGTCGATCATTTGATATAAAGCGTTTCTAACTGTGTATTCAATGCATATGTACAAATGTATGTGCGTTAGCTAATCACATTTTAATTAATTTACATTTGTATGGATGAAAATATCAAAGTTTCGATTAAAACAATTAGCAAATATGTAGATCTAAAATAAATATAAATAAATATATATGTACATACAAGTATAATATGTGCATATATTTTTATTTTGCAACTACTATTTAGTTGAAATTTTTCTTCAAAAGAAAACTCTCTCATAATATCGATGTAGAAGTATATAGGAATCTTCGCTGTTAAATCAATGGAGTTGTTGTTATTTCTATTTTTTATATTTATATGTGAACATTGTGTTCGGTTTTTTTTTGTAAGGGTAAAGTAAATAGAATTACTACAAGCACTCGCAGTGCAGTATACACAACAAATCGCGATAAATTGGCGCCATGCTGATATTGGGGAGATGAAAACCTTTCGATCGCACCCGATTCTCATTCTGCAAAGTAACGCAGCCGCTGGCGGTTCGTATCGGTTGTGAGCAGCGCTTCGTTACAGTTCGAGTTTTAATTGTCAAATCCGTTATTTTTGAGCGTGATCCTTAATTAATAAAATACTGCGAGGTCGTAATAAACCAACAAAAGCTACGGAATGGAGTTGACAAATGTGAAAGTGGATGGTGATCTTGTAAGAAAAATATTTTGTCATGTAAATATATATATGTATATATGTATGTACGTATGTACATACATAGGTAGATTGAAAGTTGAAGAATGCACCGCGACCGCTGGTCTATTGTAAAAATATTATATATATGTATGTACATATGTACATAAGATTAAATGAATATGTGTTTAGCGAACCAAAAAAAAAAACTGTTTAGTGCCCAAAAATGTAATAAAGATAAATATATGTATCTAAATCATAATTGCTGATAAACATTTAAATGTGTTAATATTTACCATTTAGATCACGTGCTTCGTTATTTGAATGACAGACATTTGATTTTGCTTGTTACACGAGAGTTACAGAGTTAAAACATGAATAAAGAAAGGAATTAAAATTGGACATATTTGTGTGTACTATTGATCGGAAGTTCCATATATGCTCTCTTAATTACTTTAATATTAATTTGTTATTATATGACTTTTTATTTTAAACAAATATATTACATATTAACAAGTTATATAATATATCCATTTGCGAGCCAAAAAAAGCGTGTTTTTCGAGTTTTGTTTAAAATTTATTTTAAATAAAAAAAAAGTGCATTTATAGAACTTCATGCACTTTAATAATTGTCGTTTAATTTTGAAAATATTTGAATTTCCTAGTATAGTATGTCGAAGACGGTCATGTGTATATATCAAGCCGATCGATTTGTACACCGACTCTGAAAACAGCGTTTCGTAAAACGCGCTTAAAGCTTTGGCAGCCGGTTCAACTTTAAATTTTCGGATAATATTCTTAAATAGTATATATGTACATCCGATATATATATATATGCAAAATAAAAAAAATCGAGTTTCTTCACACAAGTGGATTTAATATATAGCTTTTCACAGCTTTTTTTAAGAAGTCCCTATATTACAATGTTTCTTAAAGAGATTGATTCAAAAATGCCCTTAATTGAATGTCTACAGTTTACTTGCATATAAACCTATA